AATCATTCAAAACAATCAAAACAACTCCATGCCTCCTGTACTGTGTTGTGGGTGGAATATTATCACTTTTTTGACAGCATTGTCCAAGTTAGTTAATTACTTCAGTGTTTTAACATTTCTTATTTTCATAATGTCGTAGGGGGCTGTAATGTAGTGGTCAATATGGCCTCAGCCTCGAGAAAAAAAAACCTTTGATAAATATGTATGTGTATTTTCTGAGATAAGCCCAAGGTAACCAGTCGTTTTAGATTAACCAAAATACGAAGCGTTACCTGGAGTCTGACATACTTAATCAATACGTGACTAGAAACCAAAGAAATGTGATGGGTAAAGTTGCTCATAGTGAGGAAACACACAATACACACATAATGAGATGTGTGCAAACATGTGACACTGTGTTTGCGACTTTAAGGTCAAAGTATACTGGTTACTGACTAGGGCATGAGTCATTTGTTTGTTTGTGTGAGTATCGAGTGTAGGTTCTGGCAGTATTTCATAGATGGATTTTACATTTTGCTAGATGAATTGGCTACATTTACTAGGGACCTATGGGTATCTACATATAAGAGGAAACCTACAAAGGAACCTGAAACCAGTATGTGTGCATGTATCAAAGCAGAGTACATCTGCTGTAAACATTCATGAATTATGTAACGATTGAGGGTTATATCATCAAAAGGTATTAAATGGCAATGGCACGTTAATGTGTTTTCCCCCATCCTTTATTCTTAAATGCATGTGTGCGATTACCAGCTTCCAGCATGCTGGTTGTCTTTGTCAAACAATAATGGTAAAATTTAAAACATAGCAATTAAAGAGTGAGAATAAAAACTGTGAGATGAGGTTCAATATGGTTTACACAATAGGCCGTGAGAATGAACAGAAGACTGCTGACGAGTTAATTTACATCATCACACCATCATCACAGTATCATCAAACTCCATGCTGGGATGCGAGCTGGCAGGACTTATTGCACTCTGTCTCAATCAGCTGCTCTCTCATCTCAGACACTCAGAAGAGAAGCAGGAGAACAGCCACACTCTTTGGCTGTCTGTCAGGTTGAGTACCAATTTAACTGCGGCAAAACACGAGTTTGCTGAAGAGCTTTTCTATGATATTTATACTCAGTGGTGGGTCTGAGGGGCACGGATGAAAAAAGTGGAAAAGGCACCAGCTTGCAGAAAACTCATTGTGCATTTACGGGGAAACAGTTTCAAACCCTGGTTAAGAGTAAAATTGTTTTATTATGTGACTTAGATTTGAAGTATAACTACACCTCTGTAATAAAAAAACCCTGGAAACTATTTAACCAAAAGATTGTATAGTATGCAGAGCACCCTAGGGGGCACTTTATCACACTTTCTCCACTGGAAGGGCACCAAAGATTGCATTCAACCCATAAGGACAATTGTGCTTCATTGTTTTCAGTGCACCTTCCAGTGGTTACATCCTTCCCTTCACTTATTACTTTTAAATACGAGGCGATAAGTAAACACTTTGTTCAGCTTTGACATTTAATTTACTGCAAGGAAAAAAACGTGTCTCCATGCATCCAGCTCTGTCCTAGGTTCCCCCCCTCGACTCAGTGCAGGTGGTGGGAGAGAGGAGGATAATAGCAAAGCTATCATCACTGATGGACAATGTCTCCCACCCCATGCAGGACACCATCAGTACGCTGAGCAGCTCCTTCAGTGACAGACTCCTTCACCCCAAGTGTGTGAAGGAGAGATATTGTAGGTCCTTCCTTCCTGCTGCTGCTCCTCCTGTTTATATATAATATTTATATATAATAACAATGTGCAATGATTACTGTGCAATAATAATAATAATAATAATAATAATAATAATTACGCCCATGTGCAACTGCTGCTGCTACTACTATTTGTGTTATTTGTGTTAATCTTTCTAATTATGAATAATCACAACTTTTGTGACTAATTTGAGAAGAAAATGCATACTATTTGTTTCTTTTATTAAAAAATAAATAAATGAAACATATAAATGGTTTTTCAGCTACGATCGGCTCCAGACTCCAACAACCCTGCAAAGGATAAGTGGGTATATATAATGGATGGATGGATATAAATGATAAGGATTGAAGTGCATTATTTCAAATCAAATATGCCAGTAACTAAAAATGTTCAACTCCACTGAGCAAACTGTGAACCACTTCTAAATCACAATTACTTCTACAGGAGCTGGAGCTGAAAAATGGAAAGGGGAGCAAAAGAAAGAATCAGTGGGAGAGCACATAACGCTGAAAATTCAAGAAATGCTCACAGCACTTTCATAGAACCGAACACCGACTACCAGCACATTTGTGAAATGAGAGGACAACAATGCAAGCTTTATGTGCACTCAACAAACAATCAGCATTCAAAATCACGTTAAATTTGTCCCTGTTTATAACTCACAGTTATAAACTCAAGAACTTTGAAAGTCAAAAGTATTGTGTTTTTTCTTTGAGACAGAAAGGCTCTTGTGATTGCTGCTGAAGGATGTGAAGATAGTGATGGTCTTTCTATTTCTATTAAAATAGGTGGTTTTGACTCCTGTTGCTTGATAGCCGTGGAAACATGTTGGCTACAATTTATATAAATAAGCAAAAAGTGAAAATTGCCTTTTTTTCCCCTGTTGGTGGCCAAAGACCCCTTTTTTTAAGTGTTTCCAGAGATATTGTGTAATTGCCTGGTGAAAGCAAGCAGCAATACAGTTTTGAGTGTGCACTAAATGAGCTTTAGGAGGCTTTAAGTTTTCACATCAGGGGGTTACATATGAGGACTTACACTGGTTTCTCAACACTTAAGGGTTTATCAGGACGGCTGGATTGTGTCCACCCAGGCCATCGCTTCAGCGCTGCGAGGAGGCCTTCGTGGTATGCTGAAGAGAACTCATGAAAATATAAGTGGATGACCTTTTCTACTAAGAGAGCAGTGGAAAAATTTTTACAATAATCATCTATTCAAACTATTTTTTTTAATGTGAGAGGGTGTATGCTCCCAGGATCTCTTTCTAGTTCTAAAAATGCATTCAGATAATGTTTGTCTAGTAAATGTAGCGTTTTACTCTCTTGTTCGTTGCCTCTATTATTGTTACTCTGCCAACATAAGGTTGTAAAGTGGTTTATTTTACACCCATTACATGCTGGATTAATGCCGGCACACAAATGTTAGTCCGACAGCTGCATGCCATCAATAGTTACCATCTGACAACGGGATGCTGTACACAGTGTGATGTCCATGATGTATGCGCTAAATGGATTATCTCATTAATGAGTCACCAAACAGGCTCTGCCAGTATGTGCATTGTGCTACAGGCTGCGTAATATAATTACAGATTCATGCTCAGTAAACAGTTACAGACCTTTCAAAGAGGAGGTGAACAGGGACGGTTTTTCACATTGAAAAGCCTAACAAATTATGACAATAATTTGCGCTAATAAGTGAGGTGCCATCTGCTCTTGTGCCTTCTTAAATCACAACCGGATTAAAGCACTATGTAAGACTGTGAAGAAAAAGCTGGCAGGCTTGTGTTTCAGCAGTGCTTGTTCCCTTGCTTTGACTTATCTTATCCTGTCTTGGCAGCAGCGTGGATAGCTCCTCCGGCAACATACAATCAATCAATTACAAGTTGAACAGAACTGAATGCATATAGTTGGGTCAAAGCAAATCAATTGATCAAGTCTAATAACATTTCTAAAAAGTCAGTTGTAAGCCAGAGATTGACATGGATTCTTTCAAAATGTGACTTTCTTCACACTAAATTACTAACTGCTTGTCTTTTTATTGATGCTGTATCTTGTTTTGGTGAGCCAAAGACAAATGTCCAACCTTCAATTAAATTATATTCTATTAAAGTTAACCATTATGTTTGTGTGGCCCCAATCTATTTCTTGAAAATGCCCACTCAAACTAAGCATAATAATAGCTGACATGTCTATGATTTGATTTATTTTGACCTCTGTAGCTTTAACCGTTACTGAAAAACTTTGTCCTTCAAAAATACCAAATGAAACATAATAACACAATGACTACATTTGCCGAATATGGTCAGAGAGAAATGTGCTCTCAGCTCAGTTTGTTCTGTATGAATGGCTCAAATAAAAAAAAGCCTCAATATGTTAGTATAAGTCTACATTTTTAATTGCATTGCAGTGTTATAACACGTTACTTGTAGTAATGAACCCACAAATAAGTCCCACTTGCGTCTGCAGTTTCCCTCTAACTCTACGGAGCTATATTTCAGCTCATTGTTTACCCGGCTGCAACTTTATACTGTTTTTGCTTACTCTCATCGCATTGAATCATTTTAGCAAAAAAGCTCTAAAGCTCCTTGCTGTACATTACCTGCCCAGCATCAAAGTTAGTTGGTGAAGCATTTGGCAGCTAAAAAAAGGTATATTTTTAGTCAGACATAAAAAAAGCAGAGCCAAAAGAGAGTGAATATTGGACTTTAATTCAATCAGGTGGCCAGTTGCTAATGTCCTGTTGGGTGTGTAAGTAGCCAACAAGTTCCCTATATCAACTTTATAAGGTGAAAATAATCCAGTGTTGTGTTCAAAGCTCTTTACTGCTGCACAAAAGTGGCCAAAAAAAACAGGTTTAAGTTCATTATAAGTTACCTTGTGAGACACATAGTCACAATTAATTCCCCCCATATAATGTCAATATGGTATAAATACAATTCATTCATGTTACTGGATACTGTTACAGCTGAGTCCATTTAGCTGAACTTGGAGGGTTAACAGTGAACCGAAACACACTCGGTTGATTAAAAAGGGAGATACAAGTAAAAAATCTATTTTAATTTAACGTGTATTTTAGAAAAAAACATGTCAAAAGTGACGCACGGAAATCAATTAGTGCCCCATCCCCTTTACAGCCAACAGCGCGTGCCATGAATTGCTGCGCGAGGGGACACGGAGAGACACACAGAGAGCGCACGCACACAGGTTGGGGGGGGATATTACATTACATTGTGACACTTGTGACACGTGAAGCTCACTTTTTTCCTTCTCCTCGCGCGCCCGTGTGAAAGCGCCGCGTGCTTGCGGACTGTAACGGGAACCTTCAGTGCCAGCGTGCGTCCGGGGGACTCTCCCTCCGCAGAGGCAGCGATGACACGGTCCTCATTTCCGAGAGCCCCTCTGAGCGCGCGGGAGCTGGACCTGAATGGGAACAACCACGTGGAATTTGTGAAATGACGTCCAGTGCCGCATCCTTCCCGCAGCTCAGATTTGCGGTGAAACTTTCCAATAATGTGGAGAATTACTCAAATAATGCGCCGGTAACAGAGGGGATGCTTATCTCGAGCGTGAGTTTAAGGAGTCAAATGAAGGTGTAGTGATATTTCTTTTTTTTTTTTTACACTGTTGGGGATGAAGGCAGACCGACGAACTATGAACTTGTGGATATTAATCTTAAACTTTTATTTGTGCTGGACTTCGGTTGACGCACAGGTAAGGAAAACATGCATCCACTTTACGCTTTGTAACAGTCGCTAAAATGTGCTGCGTATTTATTTTTTTGCATTATAACAATTAACCCTTCCTGCATGTTCAAAAACACCTTAATATGAATATATCAGCTAATTTGGGAGGGACCCCCAGCAGAAAACCCTTTGGATTACACAAGGAATATAGCAGTTTACGCTATATTCAAGCTCTAAAGAACATAATTGATATTTCTTTTATTTCTCCATATTCTATATTTCCTGTCTTACAGTGTCGCGGAGGTATTTGATGATCTGTTTTGTTGTGAAATATATTTTCTGACAGCAGAAAGTGGCTGTCTGTAGAGTGTATAGTCTGCAGCTCTGTAACACCCAACCTGTTGATGCGGGGCCAATATCTGCGTCTCTTTTTCCTTTCTGAAATATTTCTGAAATATTCCCATTTATATTGCTTGACTTTTCAGGAGGTGTTTGTTCTTGATTTGAGGGGCTGTGCCAATAGCCGTCGTCTGCCAATTTGTCTCACACTCTGGCTGATTACATTATCTGATCAGCTCTCTCCAGCATCTGGGTGTATCTTATATGGTTTCTAATTAAATAAATAAGTGAGATCGATATCTGGTGCCAACCCATAAAAAGGGTTGAACCTGGCTCCTCTAAATCCGAGAAGTGCTTTAATCTCACATGATCAGATGAGCAAATGTTTCATTTTGAATGTTGGCAGTGATGAGCTGTAAGAGAAAGGGACAGAGGCACCAGGTTATTTGTCTGTGAGATTTGTTCAGAATTGAGTGTAATGGGATGTAAATGGGGGTCTTATTTTGAACTGAGAGCTCCTTTATAATCAGCACCATGGTCAGCGCCTTCAGAACCAAGAGTCAGGACCTTTAAAAATACTGCATAGAGTGGACACAGTGTAAGAAACACTGCAAGGAATAACAACATTATGCTGCTGTGAAATTTCAAATAAGAAGAAAAAACGATATGGTCAATTCAAATATTGTTGCTTTTCGAGTTTTCTTTTTTAAATCTGCAAATATCTGAGTCAGTAAGAGTGATCCAATAAAAAAAAATAAACTAGCATCTGTGTCTGTACTTTAATATAACTTAAGACCATCTCATATTGACAGTAGAAGATCAAATCCCTCCGGAGACGTGGGCTTTGGCTCAATAATCACACTGAATTCCAGTTTTGATTCACTTCTATTAGTCAGCCTGACATCATGTTTGTCTTGTCGGGGAGGGCATGTTACTTTATTCTTTGTTTCGCCCTAACCAGTCACTGGTGAGTGACGAATCCATTGATGCAGATGTTCTTCTCAGTTGACACAGAAGCTCTGGTTGGAACTGGAACAATCATCTTTAATTATGAAGTATAATTTCCACATTAAAATACTTTAAAAATACATCTATTCCTTTCCAGAATCCATGAATATGCAAATGTTGTGCATTTTGCTGCTGCACACAAGATGTCTCCTACTTCACTGTTAAGTCCACTGTCAGTGTATTTGCACCGGTGGCTTCAAGTTCCTACATCACACTTCTATAAAATGTAAAACTTGTAACAAGTGTTCATTATTGGAGTGCAGCTATTCTCTGCAAGTCTTTTTTTCATGCAACTCATTTCCTAAGTAGTTTTATAGGGGCTGCCTTATGAACTTATTGCTACTTGTAGCTGCCTCCTGTAATCTGCAGAGTGAAACTAGACTACTAGTTACATAACTTCTTGAAATCAAGCTCTAGGGAATAACTTTCTGATTATGATTTGATGTTAATCCTTTCAGATGTGTTCTTGATTGTGCATGAAAACGAGTTGCCTCAGGAATGTATACATCTAAAACTAGACGTGCACTTTACTCATCTCTGAACATGCAAACATGAAACACAAATGGTCAAAAGCAGCACTGGGACTTCTTCTTTGAAACGTTATTTGTGGTACGCCTGCGGCTATCTTTATATTTGCACATGAATAGATCCTAGAACTCTCAGCGAGGGAGAAGAAATCTGCTTTTAAGTTTCTTCCAGTAACATTTTTTTTGTGAAAACAAACATCCATATCACATAAACATTTGAATGCAGAGTATTTCTAAAGTACCTGGAAGGTATCTTTAATAGTGATTAAGACCAACGTGTGTGAAATGTACAAATACAAGTTTACCCATAACTTACTGTCCATAAATCATACTCGGCCAATGGCATCGCATCAAATATGTCTGATATATCTAAATTTGTAACGGAGTTCATTGAACACACACATAGTAAGAAGTCAAAAGTGGCCATTCTCATCATCTCTGACTTGTAGGATAACAGCCAAGTCTAACAAATGTATTTCCATGATGAGGCTAGTGAACTTAACCACAATGGATCACTTTAAAGACACAATAGCTTGCTTTTCATCTCTGTGATTGAAACTTCACTCCTGTCTCTTTTTCCCCTCATCATTCTCTCTCAACATATCTCATTCTGCAACCCTGTTTCCTAATAATGTTATTTTTGTTGTTTTTTAAATACGTTTTGGAGGAAATGTTGTACATTTTCTCCAGTTGATTAAATGCTCCATACTTGTGCTGCGTATGAGCCACAGGGAGATGGTTGGGGTGGATGGTGGGCGTACAAAGCACAGACTTTGATTCTGGAGAATGTGTGTCATGTGCCCCATGTGTGGTTAGGTTTAGGCTACAAAAAGTGGTCAGAGAAAGATGGTGGTTAGTGTAGGATTGTAACTTTAGTTTTAAATGTTGAAGAAATAAACATGTGTTCAATATGATTAAAAAAATATATATATATATATATATATTATTATTATTATTATTGTTATGGCTTTTTAAAGGCTTTTTAATAGATAGAGACTGAGATCAACAGAAATGTCTTTAACATATTCGGGCACAAGTCCAGTCTAAGCTTTCCTGCCACAAAAGTCTGAGTCTTTATTGAATGGGGTGACATTATTGAAATTGATTTACCATACTAAACACTACTGAGAAATGATAGACACGTCAGTAAACAGCATCTTCTCTCTGCTGCACACCCACTCTGACGCATGTCCATGTTATTGGTAGTCAATATGCCTGATTTGTGTGCTTAACAGTGTTTTAGGAATCAAATTTGACATGGATTTGGAAACTACTTGGTATTATAAATAAAATGTTATTCTCCTTGACAGCCTGACAGATTGTGACAGAATGAATCCATAATGATGTCTTTATTAAAACATGTACAGAAGTGAAATAAGCATAATAATTGCTATCTCTACAGACAAGTATCGATGGTGGAAAGTTTCGGGCTGTGCCTACAAGACTATTACAATGTCCCAATGTGGTTATAAATACAAATAAACTTTATCTTATTTGTTAACACTTCTACATCTGTTCATTAACCTGATATGACATATCTGATGGCACACGCTCTCTTGAGACTCGTTAGTTTGCTGTTACAGCTTTAACTGATTTCAGGTATTGACAAAATGTCCTGGATTTCAACAGTTAAGTAACTCCCACCTCAGTATGGGTCTAAGTAAAAAAAAAAAAACACAAAGCGTGGGTTTGTTGGTCTGCTGCTTTCTAGTTATAAGAGTAAATGGCCGTCCACACCAAGAACAATAATATCGACAAATATATTGTTTTAAAAAGCTAACTCAAGTGAATGGCCCACACCACAACTAATGACAACGACAGTGACGTACGATACCGTGGGGATCACTTTCAGAGTAATTTGATGAATCATATTGTGGTACATATGTTTTTAAACTCTTATATAACTTAATATTAGGGTACAAATTACAGAAAAAACCTTTACCTAAGACATGCTGCCAAATAATCTTTGGTGCTGTTTGTTGGTCCTCAGAGGCAGATTCCAGGCCCCCTCTCTGGAAAAGTCCCTGTTGGTTCTTACTTTTTTTTGTTTTAAGCTGTCTTGTCGTCTTGTCTTTGGACATCTTTGTGAACCAATAACTTTCTGGGTTGCTTTTGTTTCTTTGTTTCTTTGTTTCTTTGCTCATACAGAAGCTGTTTTAATAGGTTTGGGAAAGATGAATGATCTATGAAGTATTATATTGGTTGGTTTCTTTATGAGACACTGAGCTGGGTTTCTACAGCTAAAGATTGGATCTTGTTTCCTCACATTACAAGTCTCGATGGTGGTTCGGGAACAGGGAGATCAGCCACCTGCACTGGCTCAGACTATTTCTTCAAGAAAATATTGGCAATTTCAACTTCAACTGAAGCTAGACTGTTAGCTTGTTAGGCTGAAAGCGGGATGTCAATGACTAAAAGCTTACCTTTCCTTTTGAGCAGCATTGTTGTAAATTCTCTTTTCCCAACAGTTTTCCATTGTAGTGCAAGTGTTAAATGGAGGTATGAATGAAGTATTTTTTTAGTTTTGAGATTTTAACTGTGGCTTCAGTGACATAGTTCTATAAGGATGACTCAAATATTTTAATTTACTTAATTTAATAATTTTTCCAAATCTTCAAAGTTGAGGGTTTGGGTTTTTTGGTACTGGATCACAGTTTGCTAACTTACAGCAGCGCAGACAGACGCTGTCGTTTAGTTTATTTAAAATAAGATAAACATATGCCCACCTTCCTTCTTCAGCTGTCAGATAGTATGACAGATGGAGTTGTTTGTGCCAGAATTTTGGCAATTCAATTTAAATGAGTGACTACTTATGACGTCAAGTTGTGAACAATCAAACTTTAAATGCCCAAGACACCCTGCAAAAAAGAGCAGGAGCCTCTTGGATGGGTGTATCTGAGCAGCAGTAGATATCAGTGTTTGCATATTCAAACCAATAGACCAATAGGCAAAACAATATCACTCCACAGTTTGGGAATTATACAAATCCTCTTGAATAGTGTGTTCTTTCATTTGTAGTGAAGTGAATCAACCTTGTAGAAAAAGCTCTTGAATAGAGTAAAAAACAACAAATGATCAATATGTGAAGAGATTTAAAAGTTCTAAATTATGGTAGCGTTAAATAGATTGTTAGTACAATAAGGGCTTGTGCAATTTACCTTCCTAAATAATTAATCAGGTGGTTCCTGATTGATTTCTAATGCCACAAGACTAAAGTATATATCCACAGTAGCAGCTCTGTGAGGCTGTAATACTCAGCAGAAAACAATATTGTTGCACATAGAAAAAATGTTGGAAGTGTGGCTTCGTGCCAGACCTAGCAGTGCTTTAAATGTTAGTAAAACTTAATGCAGAATGGAAGATTAGATGAGAGAAAATGAATATGTGTATGTATACATTAACATATAAAATGTACAATAAAAAGCTGTTTCCCTCTGTTTTCTGTTTCTTGTTTTTGTTGATTTTCATCCACTTGGTAGCCACAAATGTTGGCCTGGCCCACAGCAGGTAGTATATGGAAAAATGTGGCAAATGTTATTGAAAAGCCAAAAGCAATGAGTGATTTATTCACATGAAGACGCTGGGTCACAGACCTGATCTTGTTTGTTGTGCTCCACAGATGGGGTTTGATGGTCCGCTCTCTGCACAGGAGCAGATGTACATCCTTTATGAAATCAAACTGCAGTGCTACCAGAACCTCTCCAGCATTGAACCAGGGTCCACAGGTATAAAACGTGCACAGAAAGTTACATTTTCATAAAATGCTATACGATTCTGCACATCTGGGATAATCTGAATTTGTGTTCATGTGGCAGACATGCAAATATTAAGTGTTAAAATGATGATGAGGAACGGTGCAGAAAGAATTTGGGAGCTATATATATATAAAGACAGTAAGCATATGGACAGAAGATGTATGTGAACAAGGAACTGTTTGCTCAGCCCCCTGTTACTTATTGTTGCTATGCCTGCAAGCTCTCCAATTTAGCATGGCCCAACAGTAACCTTGGCAGATTTATCACTCAAAATTCTTGGCAATATTTAAACTGAGACTTGAACAGCAGACTTGTCATTCCCTGCCACTGATAACTGTTGCTGGCAGCCCTAACCAGCTAGCTGATTAAGCCAATGTTAGCTCTATGACCTGGTTAAAAGCCCTTTGCTGCTTAATTTACATACTATCTATTAGTATTAGTATGAATGCACTAGTTTCACTGAGTCTACCCTACTTTAAGTTACTGGAATTTATTGTGAGCAAACGCTAGGAAGCATGTTAGCTACATCCATGCTAAACCAGCTAAATCTGAAATGCCTTTTAACTCTACATGTTTTAATTATGTTTTGGTCATTTCATTCAATTGAGCTTTTTTATTTGTTCCCAGTAGAGTGCTTCAGCATGCATAAAATCACACACAAAAAAAACATAAGAATCACACAATACCAGAACACATGCACATCGTTGCTTGTACAGTTGGTTGATTAAGGTCCTCTGGAGCAGGCTAGTGGCTACCATAACCTCACACACCACCTATGATAGTATAATGAACATGGATTATTATCAGCATCACCTAGCAACATGCCAATTCAGTTTAATACAACCACCATCAACAGAACAGGACTCATCTTTATGATTCTGGACTTACCATGCATTATTGTACTGTAGAGGTCTTGGGCTGCACGGAAACACTAAATCTTTTTAGTTCAGAAAACAAAACACTGTTAATGGTAGCTAACGTGTTAACAGTCTCAGCTGCTTAACCTCCATTCAGTCCTGTCCTGCTCTCCGTAATCTGTTCTGTGTTTTAATGTACACACTCAGTTTAGCTGCTCTCATTTAATTATTTTTCTGTTTCTGTTGTCAGGTAACCAAATGAGCATAAATTGTAATTTAATTGTGGCTCATTCATGTTAAAAGATGCAGGCAAACAATAACTCCTGTACTGCTGTTCTAAGACTCTGGTTAATTTATGGTGTTCTTCTGTACATTCACTAAAAAATGTGTTAAGTGCTGGCTTTAGGAGGATCTCCGACCTGATAAGATTATAATGTGGTCTTCCTCCTACATGGTAAAAAGGGAGAAAAAAGAAAAGAAAACCAGTAAAATCACATGTAACAATAAAAATGTACAGACACCATAACAGATCTATGGATTTAGCAGTAAATAAAATCTTTATCCTGAGACCAAGAGGACAATTTATAAGTGTACTGGTGGATTACTCCTAGCCTCACTGTTTGCTATGATTCACCGTGGTGCATGCCAACAGTTAAGATCAGCAGTTTGAACACGTTATGTCCACACTAAACGAGCGTGTTTCTACACCTGAAACCAGGTTTTTCACTACACATTCTCCAGATTGGATTAACCTCTTAACAATATCAGGATCCAAAGCTTGTGTAGTAGTTTTCTGTTGTCTCAAACTCTGTCTAAATCCAGATTTCTCCTTAAACTGCATTTATGTTGCACCTCACACAGTAAAGGAATGAAAGTTTGCCGGTAATGTCATTTGTGAGCCACAATAAAGCAGAATAGTGATGATGGAGAGCAGGAGAGGAAGGTTTAACCAGATGAGACTGTCTGTTGCACGGTTCAACATCTGTCTGACAGTCATTGGTTTGGTGAAGAAAAGTTTCTCCCACTTCCAATTGTTTCAGTGTGGTCGAAGAACTTTACCAAAATGACCTGAAAACACGTAGCATTTGCAGATTTACCTTGCTTAGCATGGATATAGCTAACAAACTATCTAACACTGTAGACAACTTAACTTACCTGCCAGAAGGTTATCTGTCATCAGCAGCGAAGTGAGGTTTCATTAAGTGATGACAACCGACAGTGGAAAATGTTTTTTTTAGCAAGTGATATCGAAAAGCAGTCGAACTGAACCACACAGAATTTGCCACCCTTATAATATTTTAAAAAAACAACTGAGAACTGCAAAGAGAAACTACTATGAATCACAAACAAAAAATAATGAACACAAACAGAAAATACAGGGGATACAATACGCTAAAGCTGTGATTTTATATGGAAGTGTGATTATGTCACCCATTGGTTTGTGAAGGAACCGTTTTGAAGCCTCAACTTTGGCATTATGGCCTTCGCCGTGTTGGTTTTTTGCAGCCAGTAGTGTTGACGTACTGTGAGTTGAGCTGTGCATAGAGTCGTCCGGAAACAGTGCAACTTGCCTGGTAACACATGTTCTCGTATTAAGATAAGATGTTACAGATAAACAGTACACTGAAATACGTTTCTGAACAGATTTTAGGCCATAAACAGAATCTTAATTCATATTTGATCAGCACTGACTAGTTGACAGTTTTTTTTTAGTTTGGTGCACTGCGCTTGTCAGTCACAAGGTAGCCACGCCCTAAATCATACCTTGCTTTATCGTCTATATTACTCTAAATTGGACCATAATTTACATAATGAACACCATGTTGTACGGAAGATGACTTGAGTTGGTTAACTTCACAGACCTGGAAGCTCTGTCCACTAATTATATTCTATGAATGTGCCCCATTTCGTCATATTTTTGTTTAATGAATTGCATTCCTTTCTTTGCATTTTTATTAACAGACCAATTTAACCCCATATTTGAACATCATAGGAATGTAAGTATATAATGTAGGAATCCAGTATTTCTACAGCCACAGCTCTGCAAACACGGCCCTGCTGCATGCTATAGAAATACTTGCCCACCACTTAAATCCAAAGCTTGACAGACTTTGTTAGGATCGCTCAGCTTTCATTGGACACTGTTAGGGAGAATGGTTTAGGGGATGGTCAATTAAAGAACTGTGATATGGCCTGATGTACAATTTCTATTAGGGAACCTAAAGCTGCAATTACTTCCAATCACAAAAACACTGATCTTGAAACTGCTTTCAATTGAACTGTTTTAGATGTAAAACAAGAGAGCATACAATTATCACAGTAGCAGCCAGAAGCTGAGCAATTAATACTTTTAAATGTAGCCTTTTTGACTGAGTCATTTTTATGTTTTTGAAAGAATATTCTGTGGTGATGTAAGATGAATTATGTGACTTGATTGAATAAAAAGAGCATTGCTTTTTTTGAAAGGTTGCACTTTACAATACACAATCTTTCCATTTACAATAATTTTGTGGTTAGAGCAGAGAGGAGATGAGTCAGTAGAGGTGTACATTTAGTTTTTTGGAGCGTCCATTTCCAGCCTTCATATTCAAAACGTAGGTCGCTCTCACGTGTTTGATTTTTCTGTGTCTTGCACAATGAAATCCACTGACATCCATTTGTTTATGTCAGCTTTAGTCTGCAAAGCAAAGAAACACATGCTCCTAGAAAATCAGCATAGACTTAATGTCTTACTCACTATAAAAGTGATAATCTGAGAAGGTGTTTTAAAATGTAATTACCTTTCAGAGATGCATTCAGATGCTCAATTTAAAGACCAAGAACAGGTTCTTGAAGTCAATGTTAAAGTTTTTCACATCTAATATGTAGAGTTTACTTAGAAATTGGATTCTGAGGAAGAACATTTCAGGGAGACAATGGAAGCTGTTTGTTTTCTAATTAAGACTATTATAATCACTCAGTCATTTAAATTACATAAACTCTTCTTAGATTTCAGACCCTGCGGTTTATAAAGCAGACAAAGATGAAAATCCAACATAAATTTACACAAAATACTCTCTTGTAGGAGATTTCAATGAAAAACCAATAGAAAAACAACACAAAAATTGTTAAATCTTCTTTTCTCCCTCCTCATTTCATTTGACAAACAAAACTGTTTATTACAGTCTTAATCTCATGTGGACACAAGACACAGCCTGATTAATCTGTTTTGTCTCGGCAGGATAACCTGATCTGTTGCACTCCATAATCACTTACATTATATTTCACAATTTAGTTGATCTGATTGACACAGTTTCCTGTTGTAATCAGACAATGGTATGAATATGGTGATTTAATTAACAACTGAGCGACAGCATAAAGTTGCTCGCTTTTGTTCAGTGGAGCAGAAAACTATTAACAGTTTGAAGGAAAGGGTTATTATGGTTTCTAAAAACTCATTATTATCTCTATTTTTACGCCACAGCATGCTTACCAGTGGTGGAGGAAGTATTCAGATGCTTCACTTAAGTAAAAGTACTAATACCACACTGATAAAATACTCTGTCAGAAGTAAAAGTCCTGCATGAGAGTGAGATGAAAGTATTAAATATAAAGTAAAAGTATAATGAGGAAAATGTACTTGAAGTGTTAAAAGTTAAATGTCCCATTATAAGATTATTAGTCTATAATCTACTTATATACATACAGTTTAAATTATAACAAAACACATCTTTTCATGTGTTTTGTAGGGAAAAATCTTAGATAACTAGCATGAATAGAAAAGAAAAAACTACCTCAAATTTCTGCAGTACATTACTTAAGTAAATGTACTTACTTACACCACTGATAGTTACTAAACCATAAATGGATCCATGCTCTGGTGACATTTAATTGTTACCACTGAATCTTCAGTTTGGAGATAAGTATTGATAGAAATAACAGCATTTTATTCAAACCTACGATTTTTAACTGAAACTCATGACAAACATAAGCACAGAAGACCATCAGCCAGAAGACTATGGAAGAAAAAAGGCTATTTATTCTTAATGTCTGCTGATCGGATTTGGATGGATTCCACTTGAAATCAATGAAACAAGACGGTAGAAACACTAACACTTTTGTCCACAGGGGAGACCAGAATCAAAAACATTAACGCTCCTTGTTGCTGCTTTAACATGTTTTATAACATTTTATAAAATTTAACAAATTCAAAGCTCTGTGGTGTTTTCTACTTCAAGATTAAAATCCAATAAAACAAATATGTCATAACTAGTGCTGAAAATGGATAACAACTCTGACAACAGCATTGTTAGGGCGTCGATAAAATGTTACAACAACCTTTGGGGAGTGGGATTTCTACAATATAACGTGTCGATTAATGCAACAGGAGTAATCCATCGACACTTTGCCTGTGTAACTAACAGGTACAGTACATGTACATTTCCCTCACAGCATTAAAAATGTATGTTAAGAACGTTACTATATTTAGCTGATCATTACATTTGTATGGTTCATGATGGTGTATACGGTCTACCTGTTCCTAGGAATACCACAGACTATGTGTTTTATATATCTTTCCTATCCTCCAGTTCTACTACAGAACTGATGCATTGTAGGTAACATTTTGGTTGTCACAGGTGAGATCAGATCAGAAAAGGACCATTGACCACATACCAGATGACAGTATGTTGACTCTTTCTTGCCCCCAAATTCCACCAGGCCTCGGCCGTGACGCGTTCTGGCTCTGGCTGCGGTCGCCACAGCTGATCGAGCCCGTTCAAGGCAATGCTCTAAAGTCAGAAGCGTCTGAGAAGCGGGTCTCCGCACTGCTCCGCATAGAATACGTGGCTAGTCTACTTTTGGAGGAAGCTGTGACCCACTCCTGTCAAGCAACACAGAGCAGATCGCACTGGTAGGAAGTCAGATAGAGAAACGGCATAGAGAATCCGGTCAGAATAAAATACACACAAAAGACACATTTCATGCTAGATCAACAGTGTTTGTTTCCTCTTTAAGGACAAAATACACGAGTAAACAACGTATTGCAGGCATTACACACTTTAGACACTCCGCTTCTGAAATTCTCTCGGTGGGATATGAAGATGTGCGGATCATGGAGCCAGACGCGGCGTTATAAAAGCTGTGCCCGGTGGAATTTCGGGGGTTACTCTTCCTCTTCTCTCTGTAGATGAGACGTGCCCTCCAGACTGGGACGGTCTTATCTGTTGGCCTCATGGCTCCCCTGGGCTGATTACCAAGGTTCCCTGCCCGTCTTACATCTATGACTTCAATCACAAAGGTTAACAGTTTGTTTGTTTGTTTGTTTGTTTTTGCAGATGTACCATCACCGACACTCAAGAGCTAGAAGATGGCAAGGAACGTTAAATGTAGAGAGTACTGTTACATTTAAAGCATTTTCTGTTTTGTTAAATTGCTAAAGGTCTTACACACTCACACATATGGCTGAATAGACCTCTGCTTAGGATGAAGATGAGTGGAGCTATGATGGAAATTATGTGAGGTTACTGGACTGACTAAGCGTTGTAAATGTCAATAATAATTTAAAAGTATGTGTTTACAGGACATGCCTACAGAAAGTGTGACGGCAATGGTTCCTGGGTGTTTGTGGACCGCTGGAACAAAACATGGACCAACTACTCAGAGTGTCTGCGCTTCCTTCAGCCCAATGATGAGGAAGGGAGAGTAAGTGTGACTGTAAAATATCTGGTTAATCCAATGTTATTCACGTCCATGCATTGATGTTTAAACACACAGATTGTTGGCATGTGTAGCAGTCAAAGCTATAAATCCCAACGGGACCCTCGGGCAAGCTAATGTGGAGGCTGACTGTGAACAATCTGAGATGTTCTCTGAAAAATGAAATGAGATAATAAGAAGCTGTGTGAGCAAATTCACATCTTATCACGGGATTGTGTAACAAATGAACAGCACTTACCGTCCTCTAAAGCAGTTCTTCTTTAATTTAAGGGGTGTATGATAACTGAAAAAAATGCAGTGAGCCAAATATCCCAGCATTTTATTAATTTCTTTTCCTTCACAACTTTCAACAGCCTCGTCCTTTATTAGGAAAGTACTTAAAAATACATAATACGGACCGAGAATTGTATAAAAGGTTCCTATGAATATCAGGAAAACTAATCTGATGCTCACAAAAATAATCCAAAACGCTAATTTTAAAACTTCCTGCATAGTCAATCACACAGTTAATCTGTTGTTCTGAACTGTTATTGTTATGCATTAAATATAACATCCATAACACCATAACGTCACGTAGTCAGGGGTTTACTAAATGATTGAAAAGAGGTTCCAGAACCACTGCTTTAAAGCAGTAGCTCGCACCTTCTTTTCCTTGTTACTCTTGAAGCTTTTGACAGCTCATCGGAGGCTGCATGCCTGTGAGTGGTGAGCAGTTCATGTGAAGAGTAACCTTTCTTTCTCAGGATGCTTCATTTATTTTTTTTATATTTTAGTTCAAGCCAGTACACCAACCTTGAAGAACAGTCTGAAAAGTTGACAATTTTGAGGAGCAGAATTGTGTTTTTTCTCATCTCCTACCTCTGTAATCATATCTCTATACCTAACATTTATCTTGCACCCTCGTGGGAACCACTGCTCTTTTTCCTTTTATGCAGGAGGTGGTTTAAAAAGCCACAAAATAAACTGACAGTAAAAAAACTGACAGTAAAAGTGAAAATGAAAGCCCTGCTTGAACCAACAGGCTGAAGTCATAAGTGTTCACATGGAGAGTCTCTGTCAAGAAGAGTAAACACTCATCAAAGCTCAGTTGTCCGTGGAGCCACGGTGATCTGTGTGAGATTTTTTGGGAAACTAACTTTGAAGCAGCTCTGATTGATAATTTGGCCACCTAGGGGAAGCAGAACATATTGTCCCTTTTGAACTTGATATGTGATAGCGATCACTTGACTGTAAACACACCTTGCAGACACAGAGCAACATCAGTATTAATTTGGAGTAATGTTTCTGCCCACTTGCCAAATGTAAGTCCAATGTTTTGGTCTCAACCATCTCCAGACAGAGATATCCGCTATTTAGCTGCTAAGCGCTCCACTTTGTTTACTAGTTGCTTACTTTGTCTTCCTGGTATTTGTTGCTGTGCAGGAAGTGAACACAACTGCCTGCTGGGGATAGTCATTTCATCACAACTAAACTTGAGATATGAGACTTGGACACAAGTCAGACTAGAGTAGCAAAATCGAAGACCGGACTCGACTTGACTTCAGATTTGTCAGGCTGTGCTTCAACTTCACTCGATCTTTTCATTTTGATCAGATGATTCTTGTGAGACAAACAACAAACCTCCGAGATGTAACTTTCTGCAGTTTAGAAAGAGAAGGGATGTTTTGAGATGAAAACGCAGGAGCAGCTATTTATAGAAATACCACATTGTTCCCAACTCACTGCAACCCACCATGAGACTGCATACACATGCATACACTACTTTGAAGCCAATTTAACATAGTGTCTGAACTGTGTGATTACAGCAATGGCCATGTCACGTGATGCAGATGATCCCAAAAAGACGTCATGGAGCAGTATCCAGCTCTCTTTATACATAAATGACACATAAACAGATGCTTTGATTCACTATTTGTTTCCATAAAAAATTGTTGGGTTTTTGGCCATTGTGCAATTGTAACTGACAAGCTCTGCCTTAAAAGATATTTTGACATCAAAGTTTAAATCTTACTTTAGCCTATACTCGGACTTTGACCACAAACTGCTTGTTTATGAATTAGCCTACTGCGGCTTGCAAAATACGAGTATAGTTGACTACTTTTAAATCCGTATTAATATGCAATTTCACAAATTTTAAGTTGATTCAGCTTCCGACCTTTTAATATTCAACCGATTCATCGAAGCCAACTTATCACCTGGGGGACATTCATTCATCTGCTTTGTGTAAAATGAAAAGGTACCGATGGAGTTGCAGCCATCTTTTGTTCATGTTATCGACTGAATCTTCTGGCTCCTCTAAGTCTGACCAGTGCTTGAAAAGACGGCATTATCTTTCAGACGAACGGGTGCTTTGGTACTCCTGATGTATCCCGTTAAGTCCTTCGTCTGTCAGAGATTAAGGATTTAAGACTGCCACATACATACTTAGACTTGTTTCTCTTTTAAATAACTTAAGACAAAACACACTCTGACATAATAATAACTCTGGGGATGGATTATGAATACATTCTTTAATTTTGCATATGAACAAGCTACATAGAAGCGTTATTAGCATCAATTTCATATTTAATATTCAATGCACCTGTTATTCCTTCATTTTCTCCCGTCAAAATGCAAATACTAAATAATTAGACCTCAAAAAGATCAGTTGTGAGGGCTTTTGTGTTCTCACTGCAGCATCCTGTGCAGCCAGGCATCTGTGAGTCATTTATGTGTTTCTTCTGTGAATTGCTTTCACCTGAAAAGTGGACTGAATAGAACTTTCTCTCTGTGTTCACAGCAAGACTTCTTTGAGCGGTTGTATGTCATGTATACCATTGGCTACGCTGTGTCCTTCAGCTCTCTGTTGGTGGCCATCTTCATCATTGGTTACTTCAGGTATGAGACATTTTTCTATATATATGTGCTCTCTTTCTAAAAACTACTCCACAAAATCTCCTGATTGTTCCAGAAACTGCAGGAGACACACTGTCTTGTATCTTGTGAGCATGAGTGTGAGTTTTGGGGACTCCAAAACAACAGCAATGTTTCATGTCGGACAACTACACACTTTTTAGGTTATTCAGTTTGTTTTTGAAAAGTCTCCAAACCTCCAGGAACTGCAATTTGTATTATGACACCTGCATTTCTTTTCAGCCTGTATATTTGTGTCCTGGCTGTCCTGCTGTGTTCCAGTGTTCAGACTATGTGTTCACAATGACAAAATTGCTAAATTGAGGATAATTAAAAATGCCATCATGCTAATTATTCGATTGTTGAGTGATAAGTATGCTGTTGGAGTACAACACTGCTCCACACAGTATGAACATGAGTGATTTTCTCTAACTAATAACCTGAACAGTGCTTTGACACCCCCACAGAAAGCTTGAAAAACAATAAAGTAGCAATAAAGTATTGAGTAATTTATCTTGCATTTTTCTGATTGGAAATGGACAGTGATTTGATTCTGTATCCCTTCCTCCTCCCTACCCCATGTCCTGTACAAGACTGTACAGTATATTTAAAGCACTTCCAGTATACAGCATGTGGTTGCTGTTAAAGACTTGTTATTGTAAGCTCATATAAGTTTTGAAGATACTTCCTGATACTGTTTTTCCATCTCTCTTTCTCAGTGAAATTATGCAGAAATGATGGTAAAAAAAAACCACTCTTGACAAAGAAATTAAAGTCAGCTTACTGAAAAACTGAGCAACAATTATGCAGTACAATATTCCTTGGAATTACATCCTCGTTCCAATATTCAGTGCCAATGTAGGAAATGAGAAAGTGAGTGTGTGGAGTGGTGCTAATGGGTGTGTTGTGAGTCTTCATGTATAGTAGACCAGAGTTCACAGACCTTCAGTTATTAACTGTAACCATGAGTTCAGGCCATAGTTGTAGGGTTTTCATTCTTGTCTGGTGATAGGGTTGCTATCATGCTACACACAGAAATGTTTATTGTGTGTATCTAAACGATATGCAAAAGATATGTAAAAATCTCTAGGGAATGTGATGGATGAAGAACTTCAATTTAAAATTGCTGATTTTTGATTCATTCACTACATGAACAGCTCAGTACGCCAAATGTCAGAGTAATTAGTTCTCTGTTTGAGATATTATAGAAACAAATGACTTTTTTTATACTTAAATGATTAAAAATCAGTTGCTCGGTCTTAAAACGTTGAAAAACACGATGTCAAATAAATATCTTTTTAAAAGTACTTCTTAGACTATGTGTTACATGCACAAAATCACCACTACAGGCATTTTAAGCACAAATGCTAGGGTGGCAAATCTAAGTAACGTAAACAACCCTAAGAAATCACACAAAATACAAATGCACATGGTTGTCCTTGCAAGGGAACAGTGGCGTGTTAGTTGGCCAACACATCCTCATATCGAAACAACTGAATAGGTCGGTTGTCAGTGATTCTCATAACGACATGTCTGTTGGAGAGTACCAACAACAGGCGTACCGGACCTTCGTCAGACCAGACCTTCTTCTTCACATGGTTAATGTCGTGGTTAATGTTTGGTAAGGTTTAGGCAACAACACTAAAATATCATCGTTTAGGTTCAAATAAGTACGTCAGTATCCTGTGTGAAACCAAAAGGCAGCGTATGTGACTTCAGTTAAATATGTTATGCCAGTTACGTTATGTAAGATAAGTTTCACACAGGACACAAACAGTGATCTCCTTGGTGAAGGTCCTGTGTTTGACCCGCCCATCCACCTCCTCCCTATGTGGACACTTCACCTCACCCGGCTTCCCTTAGCTGATTCTGTTATAATTACTATGTAATTATGGTATTGTAATAAGCTCCTTCCACAAATTACCATTTTTCTGGTGAGGACCATAGAATGTATAATGGACGTAGTCTCCGTGACGTTACCCATATAGGCTTCAAAGTGTGGTGGCTACGGCCGTTGTCACCTTGGCAGCCCTGAGTCCTCCGGCTGAGTTCATCTTGGTTACCGAAAACACCTGTCACTCAAATGTCCTTAATCATAAATACCTCATTAAGCCTTTATATAATTTAAATAGGGTAAGTTATAAAAAAATCATCTCTCATACAGTTGTCATAAACTAGAACATTAGCTTTAGAGATCAAATCTGTTTTTTGTACCAGGCTGTTTATTTCTGCTATAAAGTTGGGCATTTCATTACGGAGATTGACTCACTTCAGCCTCAAGTGTCTGTTTTTGTTACATCCATGTTGGTTTCATTTGCCAGCCATGGAGCTGCTGGCATTTTAGCTGAACACCTGCACTGTTGTTAACTGTACACTTTACTAAAGTGTGGTTGAGTGGGACCAGCTTTATGTTACTGCACAAAAAATAATCCAACACCACAAAAAGTAATGAACGATGAATCATTGAATAAATAATGCACTTAAGTGACCTGGCCTTGGCCAAGCCTAGGAACTTGTTTAGTTACTAAATGTTGCTGCTGATGAATGGGCTACATTTCTGGCATCAAGTGGAGCAACAGTTTTTGTTACTACAGCTTCACTGGCAAGTCGCCATTCTGGAAACAACTATTTAATTAAGTGCTAATAAAAGGGGAAATAGAGGCAGTGTTCAATTGGTACACTTCCGATAAATCAGTTCCAGTAAATCAGTTGTGTGGCCCAGAGAATATTTCATTCAGTGGAAAGAATGTATAACGAACATGTAACAACAATTCAGTCTATAATGGGAATAAAGTTTCTACTATGATTAAAAAATGAATATATACATTACATATATACATCCACAATATGATTACGTGGGTTTAAGTAGAGCTTTTCTTTCAAGGCATATTTCCCTTACAATTAGTACCAAATTACATTGTTATATTGGAGTTTTAAGATGAATAATCATTTTAAATTATAAAGGAATTATAAGTTAATCACAGACCCATGAAATGATTACTGAAAAGCAAGGTTATATCCAAGCAACACAAGAACACTGTTTTAATTTTTAAGTTGAGGGTAGAAACTCAAGGCGGAATGACATGTTGAATACATGTTCAACAGTGTTACCTTGGATTAAGACCTGGTATCCTGTATTGTGAAAGAACTGAGAATGTAAAAACATTAACCTTTCTAAATTTTCTGTTAGGCTGTATCTAGGCAGTATCTTCACAAATCATGTGATTTAACAGCAGTAAGTTTAAGTTATAAGTAATTAAGATTAAAAAAGTAATTTGCATCAATTTTGTGAAAAATTTAATTATTTTAGAAATTTGGAAAATAAAATTAAGTAAAGAAAAGAATTACCTCTCTCCACTTGCCACCCAAGAGAACGATCATTTCTATCCATGCATGACAAATAACGTTTTAACATTTTGTACTGCCTTTAATATTATGATCCCACTGGCAAGGCTCTCTAGGTTCATCATGACATTTTACAGAAGGTGTAATCATCCCATCAGTACATCAAAATCCCTGTCCACTTGAAACTGTAACACAGGAGCCCACTTAGCTGAAGTGGCCCTGCCTTAATATCCAGAACCTGGGAGGGAAAGAGAGCAGACAGGGAAAGACAGACAGAGAGGAGGATAGAAAACCCTTAAAAACATCATTTCCAGCAGAACCAGAGCAGCAAGTGTTGGCCATATAGAAAGGCTGCTGAGTGAACAACAACCCAATGACCAGCTATTAAGAGACTAATGACTGTGATTTGACATCACAAGAATCTTATTTTGAGGCCATTTCAGGGCCACACCAGTGTTGTCCATTTTCTTTTAAAGGCATCTCTCCCACCTTCCCACAGAAGGGTAGTCCATCAAAGTGAGCATGCTGGCATTGCTAATGAGTATTTCCTCCATGGGAACTCAGTGTAAAAAGGAACTCTCCATTTTAATACCACCATTTTCAAAGCAGGCGCGGGTTGTATGTGATTTGATTAGGAGAGATGGAAGTAGAAAGTTATGTCAACAACATTTAACTTCTTAGACAGGAAAACCTCCAATGTGATCAGAGCTGCATGTTTAAATAGGAAAACTTCAAACAGAGCAACATTTCAAAGAGCCATCAAGATGCCTTTCGACAAACACAGGTCTTATATCTGCTGTGTTTGACTTCATAACGCAGCTTACAAATCTTTGATCGGTGCTCTTCCTCAGCTTCCCCCATCTCTCTCTGTTCTCTCTGCTCTCTCTTTAAAGATACTGTCACTGTAAACAGTGGGCATTGCCCATCGTGAAGCTTCATTTATACAGCTACACTACATTAAACTTTCCAAACCACAGTCAACAATTAGCTTATTACAGTGCTGAGCAACTATGGGAATAGTACACGGAGTAATAAATAGTAAAAAATAGATATCTACGGGATGTGCATGGATGCTTTAAACTAAATTAAATAGAATTATATCTGCAAGTCAAAGAAAAAAGGCTCAATATTGCACAAAGGCAAACATTTACAACACAACACTAACGACTGAATAAATTATCGAATAAACACTTTCTTCAAACTGACGACGGTGACATCCGCACTAATTGAACAGGGGATTGGGAAGCAGCAACAACAAAAACACTCTGGTGTACTAACACCAACAACTGCCAGCCGCAGCTACAATTTCTGATAATTCTGCAGTCACTGAGAGCAAGAAAACACGTTTCAAGATTTAAAAAAGAGCGAGATACACGTAGAAATGCTGTGCTAGCTTCTGTCAAATTCTGCAAGGACAACAATGTGTCAGAGCCCAGTGAGGTCTGCAGACCCTTACGCCTAACGTTGAAGTGAGTTAAAAATTGACAGCTTCTTAGAGAGTCAGTGAAAGCAGTGGAAGGGCAGAAATGTAACCGAAGAAACTGAGTGAGATCCTGACATTTAAACTGAGATCTCTATGTCATGGTACTTGGTGAACTGATGATTTGCAGGACAGGCCTGTGCTCCATCAACAGTTTCACCTCTCTTGCAGAAGTTGACAAGGTCTCTGAGGATTCACCTGTGTCCCGTTGGAGCAAAGGTGGACCTACAGTACAGTCACTTGTTTTACAAAACTGGTTGGCTACCAAAGGCTTCTACTTTTTTCCCTGATCTTCTTCAATCATTTTATTCACTATGCATCACTTTTCCCCCTCAATAACATGAATCACATCCATTTAGGCTTAAGTTGGCCTGAATGGTGTTGGAATGTAAATCAGTCAAGTACTGTATTGAAAAAAAAAGCACAATTTATGCCCAATACGTTGTGTTAACTACATGTCAGAGGCAAATATTATACTTTTTACTTAATTTGTCTGACAGCTTTTATTACTAGTCACCCTTCTAACGGACGTAATTTGGCTGAAAACAGGATGGTTTTTCTCATAAAAAGTTGACTTTGAGATATGTGATTCTCACAGGACAGCAAGGTTACGAAAAGTAAAATATATAACAGATCTTATAGAATATGATTCATTGCTGAAGATTAAACAACCCAAGACTATATAGAATTAGCTCAATATTAAATATACACATTAATGCAGCGGTAATCTTAATCTTAAAATTATATATATTAATACTTAACAAAAAGATCAGAATACTTCTTCCAACACTGGATTTGAACTCTTTGTTTGTTGCCCTGTGCACAACTGTCTTAGTAAGCTAGTTTGTTTGTTTGGATATATATATATATATATATATAAAATTGTGGGTTTCACATTATTTTGTGCTATTAATAATACATGTATAACTGTGAATACTATTTGTTTTCATGGCAGACGTCTTCACTGCACCAGAAACTACATCCACATGCACCTGTTTGTTTCCTTCATGTTACGGGCCGTCAGCATCTTTCTGAAGGACAAAGTCGTTCATTCCAGTGCTGGATTGCAGGACTTTGATTCGGCCCTGTTGGACAACTTAAAAACAGTCAGCATGGCACCACTGGACAAGTCTCAGTATGTAAGTAGCAGTTCTACTTCTACTCTACTCTTGGGTCTCTGTGGGTCTAATGAAGTGATAAGTGATTGAAGTGCCCTGGTCATAGAAATTTGCCTACAAACATCAAAGAATGACTGTACGCCCCTAGAATCAGATTTGCCATTCAAGCAGAATAAAGTCCTGGCTGTATTCATGAATAGCACGTGTTTGGTATGTGTGTAGATTCAGTATAATGATACACCTGTTGGCTTGTGTCACTTCTCGACACTTGTATGAAAGCTGCAGCTGTGTTTTACTCTTTGTGTTTTCAGGGACGAGTGGCAGCAGAGTGAAGTAACACACTAAAAGGACTGTAACATTTATTTGTCAAACTCCAAAGCACGCCAAAATAATGTATTTTTTACACATAATGATTTTAGAAAATCACCTTTACATTAATTGATGTAATCAGATCTTTTTTTTTTACTACTTAAATGGGACCTGTTATGCTGATTTCCAGCTATATATTGTTTGTCTGAGACTCCACTAGAGTAGCATGATTAATTCTTTATTTATCTTATACTGGTCCTTCATGCAGCCCCTTAGTTCATCCTCTGTCTGAAACAATACTCTGAAGTCCCCCGGCTGCTCTGCTTCCATTTTCAGTGATTTCACTGATGGAAATATAACCTTGGCTATGCTTGTTGTTAGCAGTTACCTACTCCAGCTGCTCACAACAGCTGCTGTTACATGTTCAGGATGGGAGCTCAAAGACCTGGAAGCTCTGTCCATTATATATACTTTATATATACTGTCAATGGGTTGAAGCAGATAGCCATATAAATACATTTTTGTAAAATACAGTGCAGCTTTTTGCATTTACATATGTTTGTTTATATAAACATACAGACAAAAGGAAAAGCATTTAATTATTGTGTGTCTGTCCCTGCCCTTGGCTACATACATACGTATGGTGTTATTATAGTCAGTAAGAACTGTGACTAAGCAGGACTTCTTGATTTAAAATAGAAAATATAGAAAATATTCATCTGTTCATCAAAGATGCTGGCAGTATCACAAGCTAAGATTTAATAAAATTGTGCTGTTACTCGAAGCACAATTTAAACATTTAACTCTCTCTCTCAGTGTAATTAAAGCTCACAAACATGTCTGAATGTGGGTTTTGACGTGCTCACATTTGTTCAGGCAATTTGGCAATTCACCTATGTGCTAGGACCCTGCTAACAGTTAATATGCATGTATTTATTTACTCGTTTATTCCTCCCTTGCTTGTTGGTTGCCCTTTGTGAAATGTAGCTTAATTTCCTCTTAGTGAGCCCTGAGTACTGTAAGCATTGGAGATAATTACCTGGCCTTATTAAACCCAGACTATAGTCGGTGATGTGGAATTTCAATGCAATTACACCATACAGTGCTTTAATTATAACTCTAAACACACAGAACGCACAGCTCTGATAACTGTGTTCATAAAATGCATTAGTATGCTTAGTGTTTCAGAAAGAGAGTCCAACTAATTAACTGAATATCGCAATGACAATAATTATCTAAATTCAGTACTGATCATCAGTAACATTCTCTTGAAACAACTTTACAAGCCAAACATAACCCCGACCTTTGCTCAAAGAAACTGGGAGGTTCGCATGATAAACAGATACCCTGAGGCTGAATCCAGCAGTGTGCATGTGTATCCAGATGTTATAGGTAATTGAAAGTAAAGTAGTTGACAGTTGTAGGAACAAGAAGGAACATTAGCAGGAGACACCATGTGATCAAAAACAGTCTAATCTGTTTTAGTTCTGAGGCATCTTCCTCATTTCTGATGCTCTAGCACTTTGAAATAAAATGAATGTTTGTCTTCTTTGTCTTTTCAACAACTAGTTGCCTTTTTGTGTGAACTTTTCGAAATGTATAGCCAAAGAGCCTCAGGATAATTCAAAACAAAAATAGTTTGTTTTGTTTTTCTTTTGGAATGCTTTCTCTAATTTGCTCCAAGTGGTGAAAGAAATACACATCTGCCATCAAGCACTGACAGACAAAAATATAAAAGATGCCCAGGGTGCGTAATGGATTATATACTGACTTGGCATCTGCAGGAGTTGCACATGTAGAGTGAAAAGAAAACAGTTATCTTAATACTGTGGCTGCTTTGTAGTGAAAACACTTTCATCATTAAAACTCTCCAGGCAATGGTTTCTTTTTGACAGTACACCTCCACAACAAATTTCCCATTGGTGACTTTTCGGGCTGAAAATAACAGACATGCTTTTAAGTATGAATGTCTTTTAAAATGTCCTTTTGTTTTATTTCATTAAACAGCTAATTTAATCAGTGACTCAGCTCCAGTCGTGAGTCATGTTTGAGAAAAAGAAAAGCGCTCTCATTTATTTTAGTTTATCTAATTTCCTTTGTGTGAATTGGGGGTATTTTATATGAATGATTAATATGTGTTTAGTTTGATCTAGGATTCCCTAATTGGTGACAAAGGTTAGGATCGCTTGTTTCATTCAGGTGATTTGAGTCATAAATAATTGTGTCAGGTTACCAGTACGTTTGAAAACCTAAAAGAGTAAAAGCAATTATTTTGATTTGCACTGAACCATGTTGTTTAATCCCGGCCCTCGAAAATCTTTCATAAAATGGTGCTAAAATCAAGTAATAAGCATTTGTATTTTATATTTATTCTCACTTATTTATATATTTATACTATGAAGTGCATCCTTTCAAGGGACTAATATATGAGCTGTCATCGTGTGCAGCCAGCGTGTACATGTGGAGCTGCCAAGTGTTTGTGATCTTGCATTCACCAGTAAGACGGTAAATTATATGTATTTATAAATATATTTTATTTACTGGGTTCAAGCGCATGTACTACATAGTTAAAACATCCACACTGAATATGAATTAGTTCTGGGGCTTCGGGAAATCTATTTATTTGGTGTTAAAGGTGTATGTATTATTTATTTTTATTGGATTCTAACTTTTCTGAGATCCTCCCAGACATGTTTTAAAACATAGAAAAAAATGCTATGAATCATAATTTGTTTCTCATCATTGTAAGAGAGAATGCAGATGACAATTTATTCATTTATTATCATGATTGGGTGGTCAACTGTATGATTTTGCATCATTTAGTCCTAGTGCTGTTAACTGTTTCTCTCATTTGCCATCAGGTTCCTCATTATAACAGTGGTGGAAAACTATTCACATCCTTTACTTAAGTACCACTCTGAAAATATTTTACTACAATACTCGTCTCACATTCAAAACCTCATTTAAGTAACAATATGTAAGTATTATTAGTAAAATGTACTTAAGTTGTCCAAAGTAAAAGTACTCATTCTGCAGAAAACTAGTGTTTTACTATTATATCTGAAGTTTTGGTATTAATATCACTGCTACATTAATTTGTTGCATTTTATTGCTTATGAGTTGAGGTTGAGGTCATTTTAACCACTTTATATACTGTGTAGGTAGTTTAATCTACAGCAATGCATCATATTCTATAAGATCATCACATTTGTTGTGGTGTGACTGTGCTGTGTGAACCACGCATCTCTAAAAAGTCAACTTTTAATGAGCTCAGAGAAACAGTCCTGTTTACAGCTTTATGACAATACATTTTCTAGCTCATCTAAGAAGGGTTTTAAATAGTTGATTTAGCCAAAGAAGTATTTTGAACCCATAAAGGAACAGTTTCCATAGAGGAAAACTACATGTTTTTTTACTGGACAGGAAGGGTATGAAAGAATATAATGTGCAAAGTAACTAGCTGTCAGACAAATGCAGTAAGAACAATATTTGCTTGAACTCAGCAACCTTCCACCACTGCATTACGAGGATGTGAATAGCAATGAGGCACAGAGAGTTTAGGTTGAGATAATTGCCTGATGTCAGTATATTATGAGGATTGGTCTGTGTGTCCTAACCGATGTAGGGGGAGAGTTTTGTCTGCCAGCTTTCTGTCACAGATGGTGATTCACTCGTCAAAATCAAACCGTGTGCAGTGGGCATAATATTCATAACACACCCACATCAAGATCAACACGATGAGAGCAGCAGTGTGGTCAATGCACAATGATTTCTGTTCCAACCAGAATAAACATATCTGTAGGACAGTTCCACCAATTTACCTGCTGGAAGTTTGAGTGTAGTCACAGGGTTGGGTTTTACATGTTATTGTCATAAGCCTATAACCACACTGCTTTTATTTTATTGTTTGGATGGTTCTCTGCTCTCTTCAACACCAGCTGCACACATATTTACTTTACTTGGATGATTTAATTCTATAGAAGTGATCTTGAAAAATAATGGTTAGTAAAATATGTGGGCCAGAAGTGAGTATCCATCCTTGAATTTGAATAGATTTGATGGCTTTTATCAAAGTCCAGGTGACAAGTTCAATATGGAAACTTCATAAATCTGCTGTGTACCGGTGTCTGTCACTGGGAGGCTGCTGAGCCCCGTTCAGTTGCACGTCAACAGCAGCTACATGAGCAATTAGCAGAGTTGAGGCAGAGCAGTCAGAGGACGTCAGATAGAAAACAAGATAATATTTTCTCCATTAAAGTACAGGTGAAATAAAAAAAAAATATTTTAACCTCTAAGATTGTATCCTCAGTTATATTGTACCCCCATTTAACAATGTATGCCAAATAAAATTATAAAAATTATATTTCCTTGTATTTTCTTATCAGCATGGCTCACTAAAACTCAAAAAAACACAACTTTATCAGCTATTAGTTCAAGTTAATTTAACTTGGACTTTATCATAAACTAATTTACAGTTTCACTGCTGTGTCCTTTTCCTCATTGCTGTGCAGATATATATATAAGTGCTACAAAATGTAATAAGATCATCTGCACTCTCAGGGGCATTTGTTGCATAAGAATAGTTTGTGTGAAATACTGTGATCGCACTGAGAAATATGGTGTGATAAAAGTGTTAATGTTTTGTTATCAGATTGGGTGCAAGGTGACAGTGCTGCTCTTCATCTATTTCCTGGCAACCAACTACTACTGGATCCTGGTAGAAGGCCTCTACCTCCACAGTCTTATCTTCATGGCCTTCCGATCAGACTCCAAATACCTTTGGGGCTTCACGCTCATCGGATGGGGTGAGCAGAAAGAAAATACACATTTCTCATATCTTGCATAACACCTGTGACGTGGTGCAGAATGAATAACTCATCCGTCCTGAACAATCCTTCAATCACTGCAGCATAAACATTGCAGATACTGAAAGTTTTACAGTCACGATTTTCAATGTCAGCAATGTGATTAAATATAAAGACAGTACAATGTATTCATATATTCTATACAATGCATAATATTTTTCTACGCCAAAACCACATTTTAGGGAAAATGTATTACACGGCCGTGACAGCAGATCATATATAATTTCCCTGTGGTCATCATTAATTTTCTCTTCACGTTTGTTGCATACAAAGTGCAATGCTTGCATTTTGGAAGAAAATACATTGCCTGGGGATTAGAGTGTTATAACTCAAACAGAACAAATGTGCTATGTCCTACATATTGCTGTTTTGAAGGCAACTATGCAGTCCTGAAATATAATTATCAATATCAATTATTATTAAAAAAAATCATGAAAAGGGAACACATATTTTTATATTTATTATGAAACCAAACTCCTGTTTTCTAGTTTTTGTTTTTTTCCTTCCATACATGCATGTGAGAATGTTCAGACAAGCAGATGAAAGGTTTTTGTCCCCTAACAGAAAGTTTTTGTTCTTTTCTTTGAAGTCATGTTAACACAAAGGGGAGATTTCTGTTTGTTCTGTACTTTTGCACACTTTGCCAGAATTTAAATGGCTGCTTGCTTTGGTTTAATTACATCCGAACAGTGACCATATCAATTAATACTAATCTGCTTTGAATGACAATGGACCAGAAGTAATCACCAACAATAAAACATTATCGTTACAGTCGGACACACAATGCAAGAAAGTTGATTGATTGATTGCTAACATTAAGTAGATATAGTTATGTGTAGGGCTATTTTAAGTCTACCGTTGTTTGGACGAACGCTGGAAAACAGGTATTCTCATTTAAGAAGCACTGTCCAATGTCCTGATAGAGGCAGTATCCTGTTAATTAGACTCTGTGGTTTGCTACCTTCAGTTTAACTTTTAAATATTTCAAACTTCTTACCTCAATTAATTATTTGTTCATTTATGTTGCTGGCAAAATCCCACCAGTTTGAAAAAAAAAACTGATGCCAAATCCAATTCTCTGACAGTATTTCCATCAGTAGATCAGTAGCTACAATGAAGTTGAACAGTAAATATAACCCATTCCCAGCTCTGTGCTCAGTAATCATCATAAAATGATGGTTACAATTATGGTTACATCACTGCACTGTCCTCTACTTTCACACTCCCACAATGCTCTCTCAGCCTCAAATAAGATACAAAATGTATTTATAATGTGTCCATATGATCAAATATTAATTGAAAGATGGAGGAACACTCATTATCCACATAATGTTCCATTGATTAGTCACGATGAGCTGGCATATTTAGATGAGGTGGGACAGTAGAGAAAGGGGACATTTCGTCTGAGAGAAGACGGTGTTTCACAACCACAAACACAATCTTATGCAATCACTTCCGCTTAAACGGTGAAATGCCAAATGTGCTCTCCTGTTTACAACTATCTCTGACAAGTTTAATTCAGATTCCCTTGAATTCTTTGAATGCTTATTCCAAAAATTGCTCAATGGCTCCACATGCTCTGGCTTTTCTAAAGTGCATAGATCTGAGATAAGCTGATAGAACGAATAGGCAGTGAAGACAACCATGGGAATGTGTTTAATAAGTTCTTACACTGATACATTAAGACAGTAAGTTTTTATGAGAACAAATTGATGGAATGAAAGCAGAATCAATAGCGACCTTGCAAGTGTACCATTACTTTCTTTGACTTTATGACGGTCGGACCACATTGCCCGCATGAGCAGTGCGTGGCGGCTGCTTTGCTGAACTGCTGCGGCTCACATGCCCGTGGTGTCCACACAGAGCATTTCTGCTGTGGCACTGCTGCTGCCAGCCCGATCTTTGTGAGTTTGCCTTCGATAAATACAATGTTAACAAATGAAGGGATTCTGTCCACAGAAACGCCAAGAGAGCTTTCAGTCTGAAACGGATACAGAAGCTGTTTAGATCAATAAATAGTTGTTTTTTTGTGACATATTCTACAGATACACAGATTGTAGTGAAAGGTGTGTATGTTGCTTGTATAATGTCAATATGACTATGAACAGATCCTTTTCACTGCACCTCACTCAGCTCATGGAAAGAAAAGGCAAGACTTTTCCCCTCTAAGGGAGCGTTGCGGCAGCCGTGCCTGAAGTGCGTTGCTCACGCAGGCTTTGTGGCTTCTCCAACCTTTTAACCTGAGCGCCGAAATAAAAATCAGGAGGTTCCGTGACGCACACATGCCCAGGATGTAAGGAAGTTTAGACATTTATTTATATTGTGGGATGTGGCAGTAAGTGTGAATGCAGTTTTTTTCCACAGGGTAGCAGAGTAGCCAGGACATGTAGCACTGTATCATTTCATTCCAGAGAAACACACCGACACAGACAGAAGAAGCAGTCAAGATATTGAAACTGTGGGTGGGCTGGGGAGTGAAATATATGAAGTCCATGCTTTTATGGACTTATGATGCCTGTCAATATGCCACCAGTGTGTAGGATGACATAGAAAGCAATAGGTTGGGTGTCTGAGTGTATTTGTAAATTGAAATTGATCGTGAGGATGTTTAAGTGAGAATCATGCAGGGTGCTGCGTGTGATGAAAATGAGTCTTGTAACTTGGGATGTGTAATTACAGTAGATCTCGCCTCTGCTTGCTTCATGTCATGTATCAGATATTAAATGTGAAACGTGACAGACAACAAATAAGGTAAATAAAATATATGACGTCATCGGGACAGTGCGGCTAATTGTTTGTTTTGTGTAATTTCAGGTGTTCCAGCTGTCTTCGTGGCAGTGTGGGCGATCGTCAGGGCAACGCTAGCAGATGCAAGGTGAGAGAACAAGTCACGCTGTGTCTAAATGCTGGTCCTCTTTCACACCAAAAAATACAGAGGATGCAGAGATTTTTTAAAAAAAGGTCAACATGTTTAAAGCGTAAACATGAATATAAACATGAAAAGAGACAAAAACAGAATTTCTCACTCTAATAAGTGCGCAATTGTGTTGACATTTGAATCGTCTGTGAAATCCAATTAAATATGCATGATTTATTTTGCAGAATAATTCTGTTTTGTCTTGTCAGGTACGCAGTATCTGGACATCTAAAAAAGTATGTGGACATCAAACACGTGATTATGAAATACCTCATTCTAAAACCACAGACGTTAATCTGCTGCTGTAACATCCGCCACTGTCCTGGGAAGGCTTTCCACATGAGATTTTCCATGATGAGTTCCTTCTCAATAAGGCCTGGCTAGCAGTCGGCTTTCAGAGGTGTTGGATGGGGTTGAGGTCAGGGCTCTGTGCAGACAAGAAAACCATTTCTTTATGGAACTCACTTTGTCCACAGGGGTTTTGCTATGCTGAAACCGGAAAGGATGTTCCCTGTTAACAGACTATATTGTCTAAAATATTGTGCTGTAGCATTATTTCCTTTAATTTGAACTGAGGGAAAAAAGCCAAACCTTAAAAAAACAGCCAAAATTTACACAAAAGAATGTACATATTGACCATAAAATGTATTTTAGAAATACAAAAAAATTAAAATTATTGGTGGAGTCACTATTTTCTACAGGACACCAGTAATCTATTATGGTTTAATGTGTACTGTTTCAATGGTCCACCTCCATCATCCATTTGCAAAAAAATAAAATCATCAGAGGTTCTGAACTCTGAGTTGAGTGCTGATTTTCATAAATTCTGATGTAATGGTATTTCCTTCCAAACATGACCTTCCTCTGCCTCTCTGTAACCGCTAATAACATTCAATATTTGCTTCACTGGTGTTCAAAGACTGAAAAAAACCTGCAATGATTCTCTGCACACACTACTGGAACAACATCTGCAAATGGGCAGCTGAATTGACATTACATCATGCAATTTAATTTACTGTCTTGTCTTGAGAACTGTTTTGTCTGTTTTTCTGTCCCAAAATATCTGCCTATTCTTCACATTTTGTACAGATTTACTAGAATGTACCTGTCAATGCACTGCAGTTAACAGACTGTCCACCCCCCTAAGCTTAAAGTCCCTCAGGGTCAGTCCCTCTGGCTACATCCAGTTATTATTTTAAATTATAGTTTTCCTCTGTGTGAACATTAGCAGCTGATATTCTAGTTTCCATTATGTGACTTATGCTAAGTGGTAAGACCCTGGTGATGGATCTTTTAAGTGACTTTCACAGAAAGGAAGTAGTTTGTGTACATCCCATTAAGCTCAGTTTAGCACACTGAGTGAAGTTGAGGTGAGTTCACTTTGTTTCCATTACAATAAGAAATATTAGGACACTATTAGGACAACTTTCAACACAACAAACTAATAAAGAAGAAAAAAATACATAAATAAATGCAGAGAATAATTGTGTGTAACAACATTTCTAAATCGTAATATTTCAGATTAGTCAGTACTGATTATGACCGATATATCCCTTCATAATGGATGGAGGGAAAAAAAACAAATAAATAGGAAGGGTGACACTATGTTCCTTAATACATTTATCTTCTTTATTTACTTGCTAAGTCTAAGGGACCATGTAAACTCTTGACAGAAATTGTGATGATAATTGAAGTGGTCTATAAAAAGATTGCCACGTTTTGTAAAATTATATTTTCCCTAGTTCCAAGTGTTTCATTACATCCTTCATTAAAATTTCGATGTGTTGGTGCAGTTTTCTCTTTCCAACTGAGTAAGTAACTCAATCCTTGTGCCAGCATGCTGAAAAATGATACCATATTATGTTCCATGTTGTTTGGTTTTTTTACTGTATTAGAGTTTTTAATTCTTAGAACTTCCTAAATTTTTTTATTTTCTCTGTTTTGTCACTGCCTTTATTCACTGTATTAGTCTCCATTAGAGCCCTGTCGCAAGCCATATGACAGCTTTTTTCGAGCCCTATTATTTACTTGATGCTCAGGAGCAGGTCCTCGTATCTGCAGCTTTGTTTGAACACAAACAAACCACCACAGAGATTAGGGGAATTTACTCTGTAACGGTGAGAGCCCTGCATAACAGAAATAGTGCGCTGTTGTTCTCTTGGCAGAACAGCAGAGGTCAATTTACTCTCAGTGACCTGAAAAAAGACAGCACAGTTATAAAAGAGTATCATGATGACACTTTGGTTCAATTGCACTTTTGTTGCTGACACTGTGCCGGAGAGGAGTTGAATTAACTCTATGGCACTCTATGGTTGTCGTGAATGAATGGATCACACACTTTGTTCAGTGCTCCTGTTAGATACTAGGTGATACCACATTTGATGTCACATTCGACATTTCAATCGGTGAATAGGTTATTAAAGCTTACATAGTTTCTAACAATTCTGCATTTATTCCAGCTCCAAGTCTCTGTCTATACTTTCATGCCATTACAGTACATTGGGGATGTGTTTTTAAAAACCATGCATGCACAACATACAAAGTACTCACTCTGCTCGATGTTTGCTATACAGCTGCAAAGTCACATTTGCATAATCCCCTGAAACTTCCGCAATATGGAAAGCTTTATATTTGTGTGTGCAAGGTTTCCTTTGAAGCTTTAAAATGCCAGGTCAAACTCTGTCCTACTTTTCAGTATGACATACTACATAAAGTAGTCCCGCAAGTGTTAGTTTCACTTTTAACTAAGCTTTAAGTGTACATGGCATAAAATGCACCTGAGGTGCGTAAGTAATTTAAAGCACAGAAAAGTATAAAAGAAAGCACAAAACAAGAAAGGTAGACAGTTTTACTCTGCCTACCTCAAGGTGAAACAGGCCAATAAAAAAGACTAGGAAGTCCGGTCACCAAATGGCACTTGGAAACAAAAAGTGAAATTGGAAACTTGAAATAAAAAAATGGAAACAAATAAATTAAAAATCAAAGAAGATGAAACATTTCTAATAAAAAAATGGAAAACTATCAAAATTAAAGCGGTTATTTAACTTAAAAATAGGAAAAGGGAAAAAAAAGAAAACATCAGAAAACTGATAATAGACTTTGAGCTTTAAAACATACAATATTATTGTTATTATTTGTCATTTAGCGTTTGACTTTTTATGCAGTATGTATACGAGGTCAGCCCTCCTGCTGTCGTCCATCTGTAACTTCTATATTTCTGCCTGTTTGCATCTGTTTTTTCCCTTTCATCCTCTGTCTGTAAGATCTTTTCTCTGATACTTCTTGAAAATGTTTGTGACAAACACTGAGCTTATTTGTTTATTTGGTGCTAATTTAATACTTTCATATTTCTCTGCCCCTACAGTATGTCTTTCGAATAGCACGCACCTTCTTCTTCTTTGCTCTGCTGCGTAATGCTTCATCCACTCCTCTGTATTTGTGTCAACTGCAGGTGTTGGGAGTTAAGTGCTGGTAACATTAAGTGGATCTACCAGGTTCCCATCCTGACAGCCATTGGGGTAAGATTGTGAGTGTGAAATACGGGATTTGAATGTAATTCAACTCTTACTGTGAAGGAAGAATGGACTCTTTTTAAAAGGCTAGTCAATTCACATTGGGTTAGAGTTTAAATCCAGATATATTAATCCTATTTTCTAACCTTGTTTTTTACTTTGTATAAACTTCACTCAAAATGTTGTTGCACGATAAAGCCTAACGAAAGAGGGCTGAATATGCCTGCTGTGATAATAATGTTTAATTTGTAGTGTTATTAGTTAAATAGCTGAGTCTATTTTTCTCTCCTTTCAGCTTAAATATCCTGCAGTTGCATTAGTCTCCATCGGATTGTTCCACAATTGTTGTATAATTAACAGCTTCCTGTCTGTTGACCTCTTTGTTTGCACCCAATCTACTAAACTGAGGCCTCATGGAGGAGTCTTCAAAACTAAAATGTCATTTGTCGTTAACTCATTGACTCCTGACCTGAAGAGTCTTAAGGTTCTTTTTTCACACAGTTGCATAATGCTGTGCTCATCCTGCAGTTTTGGTACTGATCCGGTGTCCGCCTCCATTCTTCGTTTCTATCCCTCACTGCTCTGAACCTTTGGTCTTCATCACCATATTTGCATGATTACTTATTACTGGTGAAGCTTGATTATGTTTTATATTTCCCTTTAGTGTAGCTTGGTACCGAACATTAGTACTTTTTGAGCAGTGGTGGATTGTAAGTACATTTACTGAGGTACTGAGCGTAAGAACAATTTTGAGGTACTTGTTCAGCACTTGAGCATTTCCATTGTTTTTCTACTTTCTACTTCTATTCTTTTTAATTACTTTTTAATTTCTTCTAATTACCTTGCAGATTTAAATTATTAATACAAAACATAAATTGACTATTACATTATGATATATTATTCTTACTTATTATGTTACATAGCAGTATATTAAGTAATCAGAATTAGCCCTACCTTTACTGAATTAATGCATCCATAATAATAATAATAATACAATGATATAATACTGGTATATGTGATTCTCATAGGGGCCTTTCTACATAATGAGCACTTTTATTTTGGTACTTTTTCTTTTTAGTAAGTCATGCATTCATCTCTACATCTAATACTAGTATTGAGGTTTTTGTAAAATATCTAATGTACTGTTCTGATTTATATTTATTTTAAAGCTCTTTATTTAACACTGGTGCATTGAGCACTTCAGCATGTTTATATTCTACAAAATAAGATATTGGAAAAAATATATTTTTAGGTTTTGACTCCCAAACTCAGGCACCGATATAGAGATTCTCAGCCTAACCCGGGCGGTTGAGTAAATTTACTTTACCCCCTCCCACGCAGTGAAAGCAGAGCACTACAGCAGCAGCTGCAGTCTTCCATCAGTGTCTCTCCTCAGCCACAGTACTGCTGTGCACTTGCAGAGCCTAAGTGAGCTGCAAGTGTCATTGATGCAAGCTGTATGGATCAGGGATTTTCAAAGGCTGACACTGTCACCCACTCCCCCATTTTAGTAATGTAAAAAATATTGACTAGGCGACTCAAAAAACCTAATATAATGGATTTTTACACTCCTGGAAGAGAAGTTAGTGTGATGTTGCCATGGATTCAGTGAGTTAATTTTGTGGTCCACAACTTAAACCCAATGTTTTCCAGCCCATATTTCTTGCTTTTCTTGTATACCAAATTAGCTGTTAGCTAACCCAAGGATGTACAGACAAGTATCACTGGATTACTTTAATATTAGAAAAACTTAAAAACATGATTATAGATAATAGTGTCCTCGGAAAGTGTCACACTGAATTTTAAAAATATCCTTTGTATCTGTGTGTTGGGCGATTTAATAACTCTAAAGAGTTTGTTTTTTGACTCAAATTGGGGCTATCAGGCACTAATGGTTTTACCTTATTGGCCTCCATGAGCTGTGTGTCACAGCAACTGCTGCTCAAGATATTTGTTTTTCTCTTGGTGTCCCATTTTATCCTTAGACACAAACAACCAACCTTATCACCTGATATAGCAGGGATAGGCAACCCGCAGCTCTTTAGCACCTATCCAGTGGTTCCCTATAGCTTTGACAAAATAATATTTGGAAATGAAGAACGGCTTATTTTTAAAAGATTTTCAGTTTCATTTACCATTGTTGTATGCCTTTTCCTCTATATTCGCCAAACTTCAAAAGTGGTAGCTACTAGTTTTGCGTCTCCCTATGCTAGCTATAGATTCCAAATCCTAGAAAGGAAAAGTCTCAGAGGTGAATAGAGAATTTAATAGTGCATGAACGGTTTTGTTTGCTTTCACCTTCCATGCTGCAGATATATTTTGCAGCTCTAGGCAGATTTTAGTTTGGGACAAAAATGTCTCTTTTGAAAGTAAAGGTTGCTGACCTCTGCAACAGCACATCCATAATGAATGATCCTGTAAAACCTGGAGTTAATTGGAACAATTTAAACATTGATGATGACATTTCTCTTTATTCCTGTTGCATATAATGGGCTGCTGTGGCTCAGGAGGTAGAGTTTCTGATGCTGTGCCATCAGTGTACGAATGAGTGAGAATTAATTTGTTTCCGTTTCTGATTAGCAGTTGGCACCTTGCATGTCAGCCTTTGTTGTCATTGTATTGACGTGATTTATGTGTGTGGTGCAAAGCACTTTGAGTGGTTGCAAGACTAGAAAGGCAGTTTATAATTGTGCAATTAATTTCAGCATTTTACCATTTATGTCTAAGCATCTACAGTTTCCATGCACATATAACTATATTCTGTGATTTTTACAACTGATGCACAAGAATGGGCATAATAGCCAATTGACAAAACCCATAATTTCTGTTGTAGAAAACTAAAAATACCTGAAAATACCTGCAAAGACAACACTGTGGATGCACCAGTAGTACTAGCAGCACAAAACAGCCAATTACATACGTTGTCCCTGTCAACATAGGTCTCCCAGTAGTAGCAATCTAAAATAAGATACTGTTTGTTAGAACCAATTACTGAATAAACAACAGCTACACCATGACCAGGGCATAGCCAACTCAAGAAAAAACATGAGCACAATTAACCCTAAGATAGAACGGAACCTCAGAGTTGGTTAAATGCGCGTGTTTTTAATTATCTCCATGTTATTATAAAAAGGAAGGAGCAGCACAGATAAGAAGCGCTGAGATATATTTACAAAGAAAACTGAGAAGAGCAGAAAAGATTAATCATTAAAAGACTTTGCTTGTCTGTTTCTGGGATAATTATGTAGACATGGAAGATTATTTTCCTTCTACTACACATACTATGCGGAGACTACATACACATACAGGTAAATTACAGTTAATATAGATATTTAACCGAGAAAAAACAGAATATCAAAGTGCCCTGCATACAGTAAAAGCATCAAGTACTTTCATGTCGTCAAGTGTGCAGTGATTAATGTAGAACATGCTTCTTCTCTCATCACTCTCCCTGTCTTCCTCTAATTCAAATTCAAATAAGCTTCATGGCATGAAGCAGCAGTATTTGTTGCCCATGCAAATCACGAGCAACAGTCTCTGTCCTTTACCTTCCACACTGTGCACAGCTCCTCTGTGGGCTGGGGATTCTTTCAGCAGTGGAGCCGGCCGTACAAAAGAACACAAATTAAGAAAAAGGGAAGATAGAAAGTGTTTGGTCATGCAGTGTCTTGCTGTGAGCACCACTTTTGCAAAAGCGCTGAATTAATGATCAAACTACATACAAATGACACTTTTGTTGAAAGACATGTTTTGATTTGAGTCGAGTTAAGCTGCTACCAAACTGCAACTAGAGAAAATCTCCTGCAGATTCTAATCAGAGACTGCTTCGCTTGCTCGCTGAAAATACAGAAAGTGTCAAAATGAGACCACATACTATTATATTGTAGATTCAATTCAAAACGTTTTACTCCTAACTAAAGTTACAACGGCTAGAAATGTAAAATACATGATTTTACACCATGTAGACACAGCTAGCCAACTATTTTTGCCATGACATTACTAGCTTATTATTGTGTATCGTTTCCTGAAAGTTAATAGTTGCATATTGAATATTTTCATTTCATGTAAAGTCTTTATGTAGTTTAAATAAGTTGTTCATTTGATACGAAGTTTGACTGTGCATCAAAGTGTAGCTGTGGCACCTCAAGATAAGTAAACTGCTAATACTTTGCAGTGCAGTTTGTATGACAAGGTCTTCAAGATAAGCTGTTCAGTGCTCGAGTTCAGTTTACCAACGCTCAAAAGAAACTTGCACTGAGACATGCAATTTATAAAGGATTAATATCGCTCTAAATTACATGCCAAACACCTGTCTCTTAGTGTTATATTTATAGATATTAGAAGAGGCATCTCATCATTTCTATGTGTCAAGTGCATGGTTTGTATTTATTTATAAAGACGCAATAATTCTGCAGGAATAATGATCACCACAGTCTTTGAGCAGTAGTTTTTGAAAAGTAATCATTTTGGGCTGTACAGTATCTGGGTTGACAGACTAAATGCTACTTTTTCCTCTCATCACACAAAGTGACACATTTTCTAGGTTTTAAGGGTCAGACCCGCACTTCCTCGTTAATACGAGTACCAATTACAAGTAAAGCCTTTCCTCCTTGTTACTGTTAAGCATTCTCACTATAGTCAATTCTTTTTTTTTGTATGTTAACAATGAAGGAACAATGAGGAGGAGATAAAGAATGAACAGAAATTAATTTCGCTTGTGTGGATACATACGGAGGAGGATTTAGGTATAACACTTAAAATGAAATCTCCTTTTCATGCCTGGATTATATTTACACATACAGTACTGTACTTGGCATGTTGTATGCGTGTGTGTGTGTGTGTGTGTGTGTGTATGGAGCTGTGTTTGTTACTATACTCTCATCCGAGGGGCGACTTATTTTGAAAGGATGATGCAGATTCATGGGTCCAAGTCTCTCGCTGTGGAAAACATAAGCCTCAATTTGCATCTTTCAAATTACTTTGCCATAGCCTCATTAAAGTCTATGAGAAAAAATCCCAGCACTTGGCAAAATATAGCTTTTTTTCCCTTTAGCTGTTGAAATCAAAATGAATTGATTCCACACAAAACACACAATAGGTCACTTCAGGGCATGTATATATGCCTGTATTGTTTTATTCTTGTCCACAAAATGAACTCATTTAATCCGACCTTGTGATAAAAGAGTTGAAAGTGTTCAGACATATGTACAGATAAAGTTATATACAGAAGCATAGTTATTTATATTGCAATAAAAAGCTTAAATCAACTGTGCTTTCATGGTTTACAATCTGTATGGAAGAGGATAGTAAAACACTAAAACTGGCTGATGATTGGAAACATTGAGACATTTGTGTGTTACCAGGTAATAGACATGTCACTCTGCTAGATACTGTAGCTTGATGCCAACAACAATGAAGTGATGGTGAGGAAAACCTCCAAACTAGATGTTACTCTAATTCAATCAGATATCAGCCCCATTAATTTAATCGCAGTAATAATAAATGTTTTGGGAATGCTAATGAATACATGTTTGGATCCACTCTTGAAGACATAGATGGTCTCAGCCAATCATTAACCATTTAAATTATGTCTTATTTTCCAAATGTCAGTTATAGTAACAAGACCTAAGATCACTCACATGTACCACTTGAATTAAGAGTCTTCCATCTCTGTTCTTCTTTTTCAGCTCAACTTCATCTTGTTTGTGAACATTGTACGAGTGCTGGCCACTAAAATTCGAGAGACAAACGCAGGGAGATACGACACCAGGAAACAGTACAGGTTTGTACTCAGCTGACTGTCTCTAAAACCAGTGGTTCTCTTTATGTCTGGGTTGGAGTTTAGCGTAAATTGTGTCCTATATAAATCTCTGCATGCATGAATTACAATATTTCTCCTTAATTTACATGTAACAATTTTGTTTGTCCAAAGTTTCTATTTGCACCAGGTTGAATAGTCATACAGCAGCCATTTATTCCTGGCCCCTCTAGTTAACACAGGACTTCCCACAGGGAGACTAGAGCTTCGAGCAGTGTTAATTTTGACAGCAAATTCTGATTTAGTCTTAGTCTTAGTCTTTTGAATAACACACCATTTAGTTTCAGTCATATTTTAGTCATCTGAAATCTTTTAGTCTTAGTCTAGTTTTAGTCGACTAAATATAATAAGAGTTTTAGTCTTAGTCTAGTCTTAAGTCTTTTAGTCTTAGTCTAGTTTTAGTGGACCAAATATTAGCAGATTGTAGTCGACTAAATCACGGTGGATTATCTGATAAAATAACCTTTGCATGTATTTCTGGATGAGTCGTCTGTAAATGTCACTTCAAATTGGTGGTGTTTTTCCCAACGATTTTTGCTCCACATGGTGTACAGACGGTCTTGTTGTCCTTGTTGTCATATGTGAAGTGTGACCAGATGTCAATTCTTCGTTTTCGTCCTCGACCTAGCTCTGACATTTCTGTTGTGCATGAGACATGCCATTGCCCTCGGGCCGGGTGCACTGCAAAACGTTTGCCTGTTGCTAATGAGCGAAGTCAACTGAAATCTGCCAAAGCTGTGTAACTAAGACTGTGCAACTAAACACAACTAAATATAATGTAAACAACCTAACTGTTGTGAAAACGTCCTCGAAACTGTGCAAAGTTCTGCAAACTCGTCTTTGTTCTCCTCCTGTGTAACTGCTGCTGCTGCTGCTGTGGCTTTTTAAAATGGCTCTGCTGCTTCTGCATAGATCAACCTACCCTCAAAGACTTGCTCTGATTGGATTTCTTCCCAACTTGTCCCACAAAAAGAGTAGTTCTGATTGGATCTCTTCTCCATTCGTCACTCCCTAACATTTTCGTCTCATTTTTATTCGTTGACTTAAGTGTTAGTTATATTTTGTCACAGTCTTCGTCATCATATTTGACTTTTTATTTAGTTTTTATTTAGTTTTCATCTGTAAAAAAGGTTCGTTGATGAATATTTTTCGACAGTCTTCGTCAACGAAATTAACACTGGCTTCGAGTCCACACTTGGGAGACTGAAGCTTGAGTCCCATGTGAAATCAGAAGTCTTGACTTTTAATTTGTAGACTTCTGCTAAGTGTCTTGGGGTAACTTCTGTTATGATCTGGCGCTTTACAAATGAAACTGAATTGAGGTGCAAATAGCATTGTTGTCTACGAACAACTTTTTAGCAACTGAAACAGAAGTAAATCGTGCATCTTTGGTTGTGGAATGAAATAATGGGTGGTTAGAGCAGCAGGTCAGTGTATGTGGGATAGAGTCAAAGCAAAGAGCAGCGGCATTGACAGAGCAGAGGGAGAGCTGGGAAATTTTGCAGTTTAAATAGACCGCCAGATTGGAAGGGTGCGCTTGGTTAGTGATTATGGAGTGAGGCATGTCATGTGTGTATAGCAGCGCAGCTCGAGTTGACTGCCTGAACTAGCTTGCAGGCTTCGCTTCATTAATGGAGGAATACATCATCCAGTACCACAGGGTGGCTAATTGATGTGTTTTTAATCACGCTAGCATCATTGATCAGTCTGTCCTCCAATTTGGTCGACTAAAATATTTCAACTACTGGGTAGATTAACATGATATTTTGACATTTGTGGTCCTCAGAGGATGCATCCTACTAAGTTTGGGGATTGCTCTACTTTTCCTCTTGGACACATTTTAGAGTTTTGAGTGAAACGACTGAGATGGATTGCCATGAAAATCCATACATGCATCCGTCTACCCATCAGGAACTATAATACCTTTGGATGATCCTCTTTTTTTACTTTTCCAATACTTTTGTTTGAACACAGCTTTTGATTCGTGCTTTATTAACATACAGTACATTTATATATGTTGTATAATTTTGTATGTATTTATACATTTTGTATGTTTGTCAATGTACGTGGGAACTTGCATTAAAAGTAGTCAAGCCCTCACAATGTGACACACTCAGATATAATGTGTTGTAGCATTTTCACATCTGCAATTATCACTATTATTCTCCCCCTGCTGGTGCTGGCTTCAGCGTGTCAGATAAAAACATTCTAATTATAGTGTATTTTCTAAGAAGAGTACCGTATTGAATGCTGCAAGCGAGGTTGCTTTGTGTAGATGAGCAGACTGTTAGTTAGAACAGATGATAGTGATCGGTGCAGTAAACTGGAAGCCATGCTGGAAGATGAATGTCAGCCAAAAACAGCGCATGCAGATAGAAAAATCTTAATCAGGGTGCCCAAAAAAGAAAGTACAGAGAAAGAAAGCAGGTGAGGGAAAATGGCTGTGAATCACTGTGAAGTGAATAGGACTTGCAAAGACTAAGATAGAGTTTTCACTAACAGTATACTCCAGTAGCTTGCTGGATATTAAAGCAAAAACCACAGTTTATTACAACTTGTGTTTTATTTTAATAGCTCTGATCCATCAGTTATGATAATACCCGTACTCACAAAAGTAATTGTTGAGATCTTGGAACGATTTTTAAAACCCCAGCTGACAGCAATTTTCCCTCCCTTCACTCTAGCACTGCCAACAGTGGGTCAGCCTCTGGCCCTGTGTATTGTCCTGAGTAAGTAGAGCAACTGCAGACCAGCCTTTTGAAAGTTTGTATAGTTTGGTGCTATGTCATTAGTGACTTTAATAAACTCGATTAGCTTGAGAGACTGTTATTGTAAACATTGTTCCTTGTAAACAGGACTCTGTAAATATAGAGCACCTAGTAGCAGTTGGAGGGGAAGTAAGAGGTCCTTTTTGTTTTTCCCATGTTGGGTTAGAAATTAGTCTTTTCTTCACGTTTAGTTTTCCTCGTTAGGGAAGTTTAGGGTTAATTAGTGAACTTTTGCTTGTTATTTTGGGCATTGCTCGGCTCTGAAGTCCAATAAACTGATTCTCTAAACTTTGATTAATTCTGTGAAGCTGGCCACACATCATGTTATGTCTAGGTTCCCCTACTCCAGGGACATAACATCACTGTAGTGGTTCCTAGCCATTCCTTACCCCTCCAGGTAAGGATATATTTACCTGAAGATAGCTGACTGATGCTCTTTGATCTATAGGTATCAGAAGGGTTTTAGAACTATGTTAAAGCCTGCTTAAGAAACCTAAGCAGACTGGCTTGTACCAGCTTAGTTGTATCAATCAAAATCAAATCAATCAAATATATCACTTATTTAAGACCCAAATGTGTTCAGAGAGTTGTGTTAGAGAAGTTGCCTGAAGGAGAATAGAGACCGGGTTAAAGAGCCTAGCCCATTTTAATGAAGCTCCATTGAGCTGCTTCTATCCCTATAGATTTACCAGCAGCTCCAAATCTGCTCAATTTACACCTTTAGCAACAAATCAAATTAAATTAACTACCCTAAACACCAATTCAAATGCAATCAAACACAAGTCAACTCAATTTATGTTTCCTGTCTAGGTGAGGCAAAACGTGGCACTGCCACGGTGGACCGGCATGCATATTACTGGCTTTGGCAGGATACCAGGTTGCAAGTGATGTAGTCCACTTAATTGGATGATCGTGAAAAGCCAAATCAAATAAGGTCTGATGAATTTAAATCATGAGTCTTCAAGTTGTTTACCATGTATGCCGTGGAAGCAAGAGAGAGGAAGATGAACAACATTAACCAGAACAAGCTTGCATTCATTTTTAAATGCAGTTAACGTTGCATATTTCAAATTAAAAATGTATTAATTGCTTAAAGAATGTTGAAACTGAGTGCAAACTGTGTCATGGATTGCAGTACATTAATTCTATTTTTATTTTCTCATAAGCAGTCAAATCAAGCATCCAAAGAGGAGGAGACAGGGAACAAGGTCACAGTTTGACCTCTTGTTTTGTTTTGGGCAAACACTTTCCTTTTCAGCCCTATAAATAAAAATTACCATGAATATGTAGATTGTTATTCAAATGTATGCAGGTATTTTCCATTGTGACCTGGTTGAAATAATGTTTTGATTAGAATTTATTATAATTAGAATTAACTGACAGCATTTATTATACCAATAGAAAATCAAAACTCACACGTGACAATTAAGAGCTGTCACAAAATATTAGTGTCACTGAAGGTAACAGCCTGCTGAGATTATACAAATATTTTAAATGAATCAACATTCATTACATTCCTAGAAGAGTTTGAATAGATGTAACAGGGTACAAATCACTTCCTCTCCTTCCAGCAGGAGGTCTATACATGAATACACTGAGCTGAAGTTCTCATATGACCTTTTAATGGACTTTAGATATTTCAGTTCTTCCTGCAGACAAACTGCAAAAAACACAATAACTTAATTTCCCAATGAAGACTCTTTCCCTCTGCACACCCTGAGCCGCTGCTACATACAACCCAGGTGGTCTTCATACATTGAAAATGGAAGGAAGGAGTCTGACCTTTAGCTGATGGCTGTGTGGCACTTTCACTGACATTTGTGTGAACATGAGAGACATGCACTGCATGCAGATGCTTGTAAATCAGTCAGCTAGGACGAGATTAAATTTATCATTAAGTGTTTATAATGTTAATTTATCTTTTGCTTTGCACATCCTCCACTGTGTTAAAATTGTATTCAGGATGTTGGATTGTAATTAACTGTTGTCTGAAGTGATTGGATTGTTAGGAAAATTAGTAATATTATTTTATTTCTTAATTGTAAGGGCTGTAAGATATTTTGCATCCAGGAACCAGACACAGCTGTGGAGTAAGGCTCAAAAAACAACAGAAAACACAACGCTTTATACTATTCTGTAGGTTTTCCAAAACTTCTAGTCAAAGCATTGAACATAATTGAGCTAATAATATACACCAGATCTCCACCAGGAAATAATCCCCTGAGAAAAAGTTATTCAAATTCTGTCACTCTATGATTTAGATGTGTAGCAGAAGGGATTCTGGTGGACGTCAGCAAAATATTAAAAAGATGTTATAATAATATCCTTTAGGAGATGGAGACCCAGAGTTAGTTTGCAGGATTTATAACACTAAGCCTGAACAGAAAAGCTGAAATAAAGTTGCTCTGCTTCAGTGTTGCAGTCAGGTAGTTTTCAGAGCTGAGGAAGAAAATAAAATAATGGGAGCACACACAGATTTCCAGGAAAAAGTTGACATACACCAATTTATTTTGGCCATGTCAGAAAAACTAACTTTTTCCTGGAAATCACTGTGTGCTACCTTTTATGCCTTTTTTTAGCACTGCAAATTAAATACTGGGAAAGACGGAAAATGAATATCTCCTCAGATGAGTTTGAAATTATTTTCTCTACTTCTCCATCCAAGCCAGAAGACTCATTTCAGTCTGTGGAAGAAATGTCAGCTTGGCAACAAAAAATCATTACTGGTCTCAGTATCTAGTGTTGGAAGCCATTAATTAACCCTTTACCATATAATGAGAGTAGCAGTGTTTACTAAAGGGAGTCAGAGTCAAAGTAAAACTCAAAACAAAGGAACATTGAATTCAAACTTTGATAAAGTTATTACTGTAGATTGTTCTCCATAAAGGTTGTCGACAAATTCTTATCAAATGTAGCAAAATGTATACATTACTGTTCAAAAGTCTGGAACCACCTGCCAGAAAACCTTAATTTGAGAGCGAGCTACTCTATGGTCTTAGGTCGTAGAAAGTCTCTTTACAAATAGTAATTTTGTATGATTTTGTATGCAAATAAGAAATGTTTAATACATGGAGATCAAAATGCTGTACAATGGTTCAACCAGACTAGCAATTGAGAAGGGCAGACAGAGACCAAGATATGTCTGAGCAGCAGTGAAATAATAATATAAAAATCAGCCAAGCAAGTCGTTGGTAAAAGAAATTGGAAGCTTAGCATCAAAATCTGTGCAGATCTAAATAGTATCAGGTCACTGTTTCCGTGTCAAGTAAACAATAATGCTTGTTCTTCATTTTAGTGTATTTTATATTGTTTTATTTGTGTTTATTGATGTGTGTTTTTTTAAATTGTGAGAACTTCCGTTCTAATCAATTATTGGTAACATTAACAAAAAAAACACATTTTGCTTGTACAAAATACAAAATGTATTTTCTTTCCTCAATTAAAGCTTTATTTCCATAGCTCTAACAGCACTGCATAGCCTAGATGCCTATTAGACATGTGAAACGCATAATTAATATCAGATTACATGTGGAGAATGCTCATAAAAAAAAATCTATGTATCATTAACATATTATTTTTTAAGGAAAACATTTTTATGTTCATTTCTGAAAAATATTCAATGATTATTAATCTCAAATACTGTAAATTGTATATCGGTGTCATCCAAAGGAGTTTTGAGTAGATATTGTCAAACCTGGGCCAGAAAAGGGTCTGGAAATCTTGCTGACATCCTTAAAAATACTTTGGAAATGCTCTGGAGTCCACAGAATCTGATACGTAAGAGCTTTATTACAGTCAACACACCAACAAAGACTAACTTTTCTGCATACAAACACCCTATAATAAATTGTATAGGAGCTCCTTCTTTACCAAATCACACTTTTGACAAAACAGAACCAGTATTACAATGTTTGACAAGTGGTGACATTTGTTTATGCTCAAATTGAGGACCAGATCTAATGCTTTTTATATTTTCATATGGCTGAACTCTCTGTGAACAACCATCCCCTTATATCCTGCTGACTCTGCACTCTGGTTACTACTGAGAATTTTCCATAAAACTGGTATTGCTAGGTGTCCTTGAACTTTTGCTGAACTCCCCCTGCGATATCCACACACCCTCAGCTCTGGCTACTGATGTCTGCCATCCATTCCTTCAGCCTCGCTTCTAGTTTTAATAGCTGATATCTTACATTCACACTCTCAGCTCTGCCTCCAACTCTAATGGCTGATGGTTGCTTGTGCTCTGACTGTTCCTGATCTTTTTTTACTACTTCAGAAGAGCTCTCATACTTTAACACAGTATAAAATACAGATTAGTTTACTCATTTTTTCAACTTTATATTTTCACTTTGCTTTTTTTTTTTACCACCACAGCAGCTGGGCTCTGCTCTGTATACATATTTACGTACGTGTCTGTGTATCTCCATAGGAAACTGGCAAAGTCCACCCTTGTGTTAGTGCTGGTGTTTGGCATCCACTACATCATCTTTGTTGGGATGCCTCATACATTCGAGGGGCCGAGCTGGGAGATCCGCATGTACTGTGAGCTGTTCTTCAACTCCTTTCAGGTATGACTTCTTTTTAATCCTGTAATATATGATGAACCTTTTCAGCAAACAGTCAAATAGGCATGAGTCAACAGTGATGTTTGGTCTTTTTACTGTAGTGGCTGAGTCATGTATAATTTAAAGCAGTTTGGAGTTAACATCTCAAAGTCGGCATAGTAACTTTGTCTAACTCCCACCACCATTAACACACACACACACACACACGCTCCCACTGTGGGCTGACTCATCGTAACCTCTAACATTTTCATTTTACGGTGTGGGACTGACCACAATTATCTTCTATAAATTACTCCAGGTGACAGAGTGTCAGAGTCAAGACTTCACTTCGTTATTCAGTGAAGCAGCTTGATGATGAAATTAATTCTGTCATAATTCAGATCTGCCGAAGTTTAAATGAGAAATTTCAAACTATGGGACAGACCTTTTCTATATATTAACTCAATTACAGCTCATACATCAATATATTTTTTTCCCCTGGTCTCTAAATTGTCTCATTGCTTATTTCATGGAAAAATTAACTACGGAGAACAAAATGTCTACTGCATGTACCACCAAAACCACAGTAAATGTAATGTTAGTCCCAAGTAGTCAAATGTTTTGACAATTACACATTGTCCATTCAGGCATTATTTAAGATAATTGGTAATTTACCATGACCCCATTTCCAAGTAATGAAAAGCAAGGATGCTCTGACTGATGAAATTATGTGATAGCTATTATTGCTAAAAAGCAGTACCTTCTAACCACTAGTTCACGTTTGTGTATCTGTGTAAAAATTACATTCATATCACTCCCAGAGAGCATCAGTGCCCATGATAAAGGCTCAGTCTTAAGATGAAATGAGTTGGACAAAAATATAAAGACATGAATAAATTAAATTGCAGTGTTGTTTGAGGGTGTTCAGCCATCTTAAAAATTGTGAAAGTGTGAAATTGCCCTGATGAACACTGAAGTGAAAGTGAGAAGTGAGTGATCTTTGAGGTAAAATAGAGTCACTTTTCATAATGGATACAATATGGATAAATATATAATATTCATAAAAACGTGACAGAAGAGCAATGTGTTCACAAACCGGAAAAATTACCCAAATACAGTAAATACAAAACCTTTTTATGGACTAAATGAGATAGACTAAAGCAGTTGTTAAAGGGGTAGAGACAGCGTATCAGTTCTAGTGTGTATATATTACAAAAGTTCATGTTCTTGTTTTAAAGATGCCAGCAGGAGGATTTATTTTAGCAATGAATGTACCCAAAGTTTGTGACCCATGCATAATTATACACAGATGAAGCGCACGTAATTCTTGCTGAAATCTGACGGCTACAGGTATTTAATCAACCAGAAAGGATCAAACTCATTCATCCCTCGAGCAATAAAATCATAATAGTTTTATCTCTGACGTGCATCTAAAATGTGTTTAGTTTAAATAAGTTACATCCAAGTGGGAAAAAAAGGCCAATTTAACACACATGAAAGGGCTTTTGGTCTGTGTGTGCGCCTCTGCTAACTAAAGCCAAAAAATTACTTTGAGTGCTCGCATTTGTGATGGTGACTAGAGACACAACAAAAGCACAATTTCATGCCAAAACGAGTACCAGAATTGCACTGCGCCACCTAATGTGCCAACAAAAACCATCAGCTGCATCACTCCATCCAACTCAGCATGAGCACATTTGTTTGAAGCCACATCATTACCAAAACACAAAACGGCAAAATGGCTTTGCACCTGTTGAAAATAACAGATTAAATATAGATCTTAACTGTATGTATGAAGGTCTGAATAACTCCACTTGTTCGTTATCTGCCGTTCTTAGTATTTAATGTGTTGTCTGTTATTTCTGTCTTTTATAAACATCATATATATATATTTTAGGTCTCTGAACCATATTTAAATCGTTTAGTGACACAGATTCAAGGTTTCTAAAACAGCTCAAATTCAAGCAAACATTATTAGAATAATTGGAATTTCACCTGGAAATATCCTCAACTGGAAATAACCGGTGTCCATTGCTTGGCAGAGCGTCTTTCTTAATGAATCTCACTGACTTCCCACTTTTATTTGAAGCCAAATACACAAACCAAGCTCTAAATGAAATGGAAATGGACTCACAACAGTGTCCTGTAAGACAAGTCCTGAAAATCTTGCATGCTTATGTGAGCAGAAAAAGGGAGCCTAAAGAGGAAGAAGTAAGAAAGAATGAGAGATTATGGAACTGAGGCTCCACGACATATTATAAAAAGACCAAGATAACAAGGAGATGTTTGCAGTGAGGAAAATCCAAAGTCATTGTATTTCTTCACATCTTCTTAAGCTCCTTTTTACACATCTTCAAGATGTGATGAGAGAGCGCTACTCTGTTGACAGCGGTATTTGATTATTTATCTAATGTCTTTTGCCGAACACTAAGAGATGAGAACCTTTTGTGCCTTTATGAAAACAACAACAATGCAAGCACCCACTCACATATGTGCAAACAGGTGCTCAGACTGAGAAAACACACTAGTGATTCCTTGGAGGGATTTTATAAAAAGCTGAACTACAAAGCAATGACGATAATGATTAGGAAACACAGAGTATATCAGGTTCAGTCAAAAGGTGTTAATATACCGGGCAGGGACAGATAAACCTGCTAGGAGACACTGGGGGAGAAAAAAAAATATCTACTGGGCCACCAATTAACCTCCAGTTTCTCCAACTCTCTTTTCTATGCTAAAACACTACCTGCCACAGATTTGTCGTGTGATAATTAATTAAAACCCCTCAGTTCAGGAATATGGATTTAGGTACAGGACCCACCTTAATGTTATCAATCTGTTGATACTGAGCTTCAGTGATGCACATTTCCAAACACATTTTCCATTTAATTAGCAGGAATGTCCTGTTGAGTGTGACTGTTCATGCCAGGGGCCACATGGGTTGAAAAGTATATAGCCCTGGGCCATGATCCTTTTCATTTTAGAGACTTATGCCTGGTCCACACATCATGTATGAGCAGTGCTTGATGACAGCCTCGCTGAACTGCTGCAGCTAACACGCCTGTGGTGTCCACACACCTGAGAGCTCCTGCTGCAGTAAAAGCCTTCTTAACAAATGAAAAGATTCTGTCCACAGAAACGGTAGAGAGCTTTTAATCTGAAACAGATACAGGAGGGGCTTTCGTGTTTGTGACATTTCTATAGATATAGACATTGTAATTGTAGTGAAAGGTGTATATGTTGCTGTTTGAATGTCAATATGACAATGAACAGATCAGAGTCATATTCAATTCCAATTTTTTTTATTTTTGCTGGAAACCATGCTCGGCTAGCAGGAAATGAAAAAGGTGAGACCTCGACTCTGATCTGTTAACATGGTTCACCTGCAGATGCAGGCAGTGTGGACCCGATTTTAGTCTTAATAAGTGAGTTAGTAGGATGACTTTATCCCTATTAAAGTTCACTTCACTCACTCTAATGGGAACAGTGATGTTAGGCCTTGGACTGAAGAATTGCCATCAAGTGAAGTGTTTTCTAGTGGAGGTTCAAAATACTTCACACGTCAGTCATCCTCAGTCTGCTCTTTAATGTCATAAGTGAAAAGTCCTTTTACATCAACAGAGAAGGTACTTCAGAACAGGTTCACGTCTTTCTTCAAAGTGCTGGTGGAATGATGTTGCAGTGACAGCATATTTTCCCATTTCTGTGTTAGATGTTGGTAATAATTCACAGCAAGCTTCACAAAAACATATTTCCTGTGCATACATCTACGATACAAGGCCATCTTTTCAGCCTCTGTTCAGTGTGTTCAGATGGACAATGAGACGAACTAAAAGAGCGAGGTTCCACCTGGGACTCTTTTCTGAATCCTACTTTCAACATTTCTTTATGATATTATTATTTTGGTAACACAAAACTTGCACTTAATCCCAGCTGAGAATGTTATTTGAGCTGCCTTTTTTTGATGCGAAAGAGTCACTCATAGTTTACGGTAGCAGTTGTTCCAACGCCTGGTTCAAAAGTGGTTTAGGCGACTTTACTGACTGTTATCACCAGAGCAGAGATCGTTGGAGCGGCCAACAGTCTGAAGCTACCCTGCTCTGCCTTCGGTGCTGTCCAGTGTCACGCTGGCCTCTGCTTCCATCACATTTTGTTTTGTGGTCCGTGGTCATTTTGAAACTCTATGTACAATGACGCAGCTAAAAAAGTAGATTCTGCTAACAAAATGCGAGTCAACTCTGGTTCTTCTTGACTGATGACTTTCATCACCGACTTTTAGGGAGCAGCCTTCAATGAGATTATTTATTATTATGAGTTCTTGTGACTGATATTCCCATACTGTGATTAATTAAAGCTCCTGTGCTAGAGGTGTAAACACAAACACTCCCCTGGTGCTCGGAGCTCCCAGAGGCAAAGTCAGTGAGAGATTAGGGCTGGTAGCTGCATGGCTAATACAACAAAAGTATAAAGTTTCCCTCATTATTTAAAACTTTGGGCATGTTTAATATGAACATCTGACATTGTAACATAGGCCTATATGACATGCAGTGACAAAAAATAAGGGAAAGCATACTATGTCACATTTAAGTTAATTAATGATTAAAAAATATCTGATAATATCTGGTTTTCTGGTACTAATTTTAAATCTGATTGTTTTTTGCCTTTTGCTCTGTATTTTTATTTAAATTTTTCTATACAGTGCATAATATAGGCTGCCTACCCTCTTTGACTACTTTTCACTTCCATATGAATATTTGGTTGTTTTGTATATTGCAAAATTCAGTAGAATTTTCTAGAACATATCTGATTTAAAAAAAAGAGCACTTGGGGTCTTAAATGAAGATTAAACAGCAACATTTTGCCTGTGGATTAACGTGTCTGGAGGCTGTTCTTCTTTCCAGAGTACACTGTGTTCATTTAGGCTTCCACAGATTCTCTGTCTCTGTCTGCTTGTCTCTCACCAACAAAGATGTGCAGGAAGGCACTTACACACACACACACACCACACACACACACACACACACACACACACACACACACACACACAAACCACTTCCCATAAATCCCATAAATCACTTTCACAAAGATGGCGTGTCTCTCCCTTAACTTCTTATCATAGCAGGAAGCAGTAACACCGGGTGAAACGGGTCGGAACAGAAACAGCCAGAGAGATTTCTGTCTCTTTTTTAATGGGGTTAACACTATTTGAGGAGATAGTTGTTGACCTGGAACATGCGTATCATCTCCATTTGATAATAGACAGCATGTATATTGTGCACTGTATAAGATGATTGCGATCGTCACACTATATTATGTTTGTTCACACTTGACTTGGTTCCACTGTGATCCGAGCTCACAACTTGTTCATCTCTTCCTTTTAGGGTTTCTTTGTGTCCATTATCTATTGCTACTGCAACGGAGAGGTGAGTGGATCACGCAGAAGAATCACAAACACTGCATAACTACTACAGATACAAAATGTAGCAAACAAAGTACTTAAAACCTACTATAAGGAGTTTTTAACTGATTATGAAACAGTTTTAATGTAATACTGATGCCTCTATAACAGTGGTTCCCAACCTTTTTCCTGTGTCCAAGATAAGTCAGGTTCCCCCACCCCCAACCCCTACCCGTATTCACTAAATAGGTAATAAATAGCTTAATGAATTTAAATGTGGACCAAAATATGTTCCAATTTGGATTATACAGAGTTTTATTATCCAATTGGGTGTGTTATTGGGATTTTATAAATGTAATTTTTGTAAATAATAATTTTGGTAACCTCACAACCTCATCAGACAAAGTTGTGCGGACCCCCTGCGATCTCTGATATCCCCAGGTTGGGAACCACTGCTCTATAAGACCTACATGAGCACCATTAGGGAGAAAATTGGCTTTTTCTATGGTTATTCTTTATGCTTGCAACCGGGTCAATTTGGATAGATTCCACTTGAAATCAATGAAAACGAGGCGGTGGAATCGCTCCCCCCCGAGGGCCGCCAATCAACAAGAAATGGAAGTTCCTTGTGCTACTTTAAAATAAACTTGTTTGAAATTAACCGTAGCCGCTGAAAGAGCACATGTAATTGGGGGTCTGGCTGAAGTAGTAAAACAGTGACACACTTGAGACAGGCTACTTTCTTTCAATTAATCTGTTTCTTGTCCTCTCAGATGAGACGTGATGAAAAGTGCTGTGGAATCAGCTGTTCTCTTTCTCTCTCCCTCCACTATCTCATTAAACTTTGTATTCAGCACTTTCAACTGGCAATCAGAATTGCCATTTCTGCCAGTTTTATCTTCAGAAAAACCCTCTGTTCTTTATGCCTTTTCTCTCTTGCCTTTTGTGATCCACACTGTATCACGTGGAGCACTCCTTTCATCTCCCAAGCAACTGCAATTAAAACGCTTCAAAATTTGGAGGATAATGAAGGATTTCACTGTTGAATTTGAGCTCCATACAGCATCATTTTGTCATTAACGCTCAAACAAATGACTCACGTATTGTGAAAAGGTCTTATCCAACAATTAACACACTACTCTGCAGCTCTATCTGGCTTTAAGCTGCTCTTAATGCACTGTACTTTAGTGCTTCAGCCCACACACACACAGAGGGTATAGTTTAATCTCAACACCTCAGCCTGCCAGTAGAAAACAGTAGGCATGTACTTCCAGCAAACAAGCTTAGATTCAAAACATTGACCTTGTTTCTCAGGATCTGGTTGAGATCCAACCAGAGCTAGGAGGAGAGTCGGGAGGTTGAGAAACAGTGGGTTTGCTAGGGGGCAATTGTTTGCTCTCATCCAGTGTTAACATTTGGTAATAATGTAATAATGACTTTTGAAACTTTTAATTGGTTGAATTACAGTTCCCACAGATGAATCAGTGGTCTACATTGATGCAAGATAAATGAAAATAATTCATATTCTTCACTTTTGCAATATAATGCTTGATATTTATGACATTTGTTCCTCCTGTTCCCCCCAGGTCCAGACAGAGATAAAGAAAACATGGACACGGTGGAACCTGGCCTTTGAGTGGGAGGGCCCGGTGGTATGCGGCCGCTACCGTTACGGCTCTGTTGTCGTCGGCCTCAACAACAACAGTACCAGCAGCCAGTCCCACCTGGCAGGGGGTGGCCTCTCCACACGCTCCACCACGCTGGTTTCAAGCCGTGTTTATCGTAGCTCGGGTCCGCAGCTCATGCATGCCACCCTCCCAGGATACGTGATCAGTAACTCAGACCCATCGATACCTGAAGAACCAGAGGACAGCGGCCCCAAGCGGGTGGACGATATCTCACTGAAGGAAAATCTGCCTGTTCTTAGTACGAGTGCAACAACAGCCGAGGATGAGGAGGAAACACTGTAGCAGTCTTTTAATGTCAAAACAGGTGATAGAGACTGATGAAAAGAAAAGTTTGTAGGTGGAGCTGTGCCAACCAAATCCAGTCTCATGTAACTCAAATTCTAAAGTATCAAAGACAAAGAAAAGTACAGACTGTAGGTACAAGACATCGAAAAGCTGTCTTGTACCCCCTTATGAAATACAACCTAAAATACAATGAACTTGAAGCTGCCGGTATTGAAAGCTAATTTTGAATATGTCTGTTGACGTCAGCCTCCACAGGTACACATTTTTAGCCTTTGTGCTAAATGTTGTTGATCTGTGATGGAAATGGTTTGCTTATGGATCTAAAGGAGGCAGCGGTGTGGGGTGCCAGAAGGTGAAACTCATTACTGAACTCTTACTGAATACGACTGGCTGTCACCTTCAGAAGCTTAGAAATGAAACTTTTTCAAAAAAAAAAGGACAAAACTTATTGATAACCCTTTATTGTCAGTAATGGAATATGCTGTTGCTTTGACTGTGGTGATCTGATTTTGAAATTTATTTCAGCGTTTTCAGTGAAGTATACTGCCTGCTGTCACCTTGATTGTATATAACAAGTACCGCGACTGAGGATAATTAAAATGCACAGTAGGAAAAGAAAGCACACATAAACACTTAAATAATATACACAGAAATGAGAATAAACTGTGAGAAACAGGGGGTAAGAATTTTTTTTTTTTTTAAAGGTACCAGCAGCTGTAGGATAATACTCATCTCCTGGAATGAGGAGACTTGATGAACCTTTGTTCTTGCCAACACTGAACTTGAAATTGAACATGGAGGAGAATACTGAATGTGATTTTCTCCTTGTATCCCAAAGCTACAAAGAAAATGTCATTTACTGCCATTTACAGAAGCTTCTAACCCTCCAGTTGCCTTCCAACAGGTGACAGAATCCGTTGTGCAAGAGCAGGAGGATACTGAATAGATGAATTAATCCTTTTTATGGACGAATTCTGTGTCATGATGAACTAAGATGCTTGCTTGTTTAGTCCGCCCACTTTGTGAAGAGAAAGGAGAAAGAGAGGAGAAGCCTGCTAGCATTGGCTGCAAATGCATCAAAAAGTGTATGCAGATTATTTTTTGTGTGTCTTTAAAATCACGCTGAAATGAAATGGAGATACCGCTCACGTTTCAGGAGATGTATTGTTGTACACATGCGCACAATTTTGAGTTTTATAGCCTTGAACTGCTGACATCTGTGGATTCACTTGCTATGTTTATTGCTTGTAAGGTCCTTAACGGCTGTCACTCAGTAGCACATACAGTTGTATGGCACATCAAATGTGACAATCATGTCTCTTATTTTTGACAGTCAACTATTGTGCTGACTGTGAAGGGCTACATTCGGTGGCTACTTAAGGGTTTTTGTGTCTGCTTCATGCATGCCTGTTTGTCAGTGCATTAGGTACAGTGCTTGTCACAAAAACAGAATCTTTATTGTACATGTGCCTCTCCTGCTCAAGCAGAAGCTTTAAAAAATTGACATGAAAGGATTCTTTTTAGTCTTGTCTATCGTGCAAATAATGTATTTAGCTGTTTTTCCTCTGTGATATTTGTTTGTGTCTTTCTCCTCTTCTTATTCCATTTATCCTCCCTTCCCTCTCTTGCCTGTTAACTGCTGATAAATGTTTTCAACAACCACCTGTTGAGTTTCTCTCTGATATTCCAGCTGTCAGTTAATAGGATCTGATGGATGATTGTTTTTGTTTTGTTTTTATGATTTACCTTAAGAAAACACTCCACACACAGACATTGTTGCAGGAACATGTATGACATTTAATTCAAAATGACCCCTCTGTCATACAGCTCAAATTGAAATGGCTGTTTTGGCTTTCAACAGTATTTGTCAGTGTGACCTCAAAATAATACAGTAATACAGTATTTTACACTACATGCCACATTCATGCAGTGATGGCAAACATTCATCGGGAGAAATTCAGGTTCAGGGTCTTGCCGAAGGACTTCGACATGCAGCAGGAGGCAACGACAGTGTCCTGTGTGCATAAACCATTACAGGTGACAATTGTTCATTTTAAATGCCTTTTCACCATCTGTAGGAGCTTACAAATAAACTTTTTTTTATCATGTGTTCCTGTAACAGTGGAAACTTCTTTATCTGGTTTACAACAGGAAGAATGACATTAAAAACAACAACAATATTTATGGCAACAGAAAAGTGAAAATACATCAATTAACACTCAGATTTTACAAAAGCAAAAAGGAACCAAACGCAGGAATTACAGACCTCACAGATTTTAAGGGTAAAAACAAGCATTGATATAATCTACTAATTCACAGTTTAATTAAATTGTTTTCTAAATTTGGAACTCGAGTCCTCTCTGATAATAATAATAAATAATAATAATGTAAAGTTATTTATTCACGACAACTTGGTAGTGCTCCCAAATACACAGTACTCTCCGTGCACTGGGTCACCTTTCATCACCAGCATCATCTTTCCTCTTTAATTCGGCATGTGTGCAAAGACAGAAGTGTATGGGGTGTGTTGCTTGCTAGGATGAGGCTTGGTTGGTTTGAGCAGTATGCCAGTGATGGTAACCTACCAACTAGCTTGAGATGTTCCAAGCTTAACATGTTGTAAGCTGTTGTTAGATATTGTAGCATGTAGTTGCTTTGTTTATTGCTAAGAGGAGGTAGCTGAAGAGGATTGCTTAGTTTATTTGGTGGCTCGTTCAGCGTGCTAGTTAGCAGACCCGCCTTATGTTCCAAGGTTGTGAAAAATATAATAATGACTTTTTCCCATCCTTAATGCAACCAGAAATGAGAATCAATTAAAAAAAAATGTTTTAATCAAAACCCTTTAATTGTTATTTTTCTTGTCCATTTCAATGGACATCAGGTCCAAACAATTCTTAAAATACCAACATCATATGACAACATCATGCCTATTTTTTGTCTGTTAAATGTTGCAAAAAGTAAAAAAGCCCCTGTCAAGTGACGTCCATTGTAATGGACACAGGGTCTGAAGGGGTTAACATGTTGTTAACATGCAAAAGGTGGGGAACAAACGTTTTCTAACACAACAAGTGACTATTTGTAAGGTTAATGGAACTACATAAGCAGGCCTGATGGTTGGACAACTATGTGCCATGAAGCTGCCTGTCAAGCCACTTGGGCGAGCCACAGTAGTTTAGCCTGAGCAGACAGCTTAAGATAAAAGTGTGTTTAGAGTTGTAGGATGTGTGAAGCTGGTGGTTTCCTTGTGAGGAAGGGAGTTCTGGAGTAATGTGTGCCGTCATCTGAGCTACAGTTCTGTTATCTATCCTGTTCTGTTCGCTTGCTGTACTTGTTAAACCACAATGTCTCATTTTATATGCAACAAGTGTGGCAGCTTTGGAGCTGTTGGAAAGTGCCTTTGATGGAGCTGGGTGGAGTACTGCTGGTCTCTGTTCTTATTATTCAGGTCAAACAATAGGATCGTGTACAGAATTGTGCAGATACCAGTTTATAAATTACAAAAACAAAACATTTCTTAACACCTACCACATTGCAAGGTAACATACCACAAACAACCCATTCAATCTGCCTTGTTTTAAAAGTCCATTATAGACTGTCTACAAGCTAATAATTGGCCCTTATATTAAATCATGTGTTCCAGTTTGAGTAGAAGACCGTGGATATGATGTGCACTTAAAGCACTGTGAGCAGATATATATATGTAAACATATAAACAAGTCGTGCATTAACTCAGTTGTATCAATTTGTTCCCAGACAACACACACACTGGGAGTCAAATCAGCGTTTCAGCAACTGGATTGAAAGCATCACCTCTCTTAAATTATGCATGTGTTGAGATGTGAGGCCTTGACTTTGACTGCTGCTTCCCAAAAAGTGTATCACAGATTGCAAATTTGCCTGAGGTTGTAATTTAATTAAAAAAAATGTTATGGGGTTTGTTTGTATATGACGCTTCAAAACAAAGCCATAGATTCAAGATTTCTTTATTGTTACATCTCATTGTACAGTATAAGACATTTTTGGGGGTTTTGGCTGCTTGACATTGCAGCAACAACAATATATGACAATATAAAAGTAGTAGAATAGATGTAAAAAAAATACAAAAAATACACTACAATAAAAATAAATAATGTGCAGTTGTTTGCATAGGGGGAAATGCATCGTTTAACCTCTAATTATCAGTGCACTGCCCTTATCGCCATGTCTAATTAGCATTGCTCATTGTTATAGATGCTACAGCATAATATGCATCTGGTTGAAGAGGCTTGATTTGAGTCTGAGTGGCCTGGTTGTTATGTTTTCTAGAAACAACTGTGTGCGATGTAACAGACCAGCGTGCTTTGTTTGTTGACTACCTACAGGTTATGCTGTATGTCATTATGACTACCTCTTTTCACCCACTCTGCGGTTTTTCATAGAGTCTTGCTTAATTGCAGCCCAGTCATGGAAAAGAAAGGAGAACCCACACTCGAACACATAGTCATAAGATCCCTGTCAGGCACCATTTCTCATTACAGTGCTGACTCATTAGCCGGTAGAAGGGACGATAAGTACAGCAAGAACATCAAAACATTGTCTCTATAAGGAAAATACCAACAATAATAGTAATAGTAGTGCATATCATAAATATAAATAAGGTTAAACAGTTGTAAAAGTAGATGCAGTTTTTTTTTAAATTGAGCACTGTTTCTCTCTATAGGAAGCACAGCTTCTGTCTTTTGTACATTGTAAAACTAATATAATAAAATATAAGAAATTTGAGTCGTAGATGAAAACATTTAACATTTTTGGGTTGTTTCCACTGAGGTTATATTTAATTAAAACAATAAACAAATACCTAAAACTTACTGTGAAAAAATGTTTTAGTTAACTAAAATAAAAAAGGCTATTATTGGTCATCTGGGCTCCTGTAGGTGACGTTAGGGTCCTGGTTAGCGCTTATTTTGTATACCAGAACAATGGCCGCGCCAACGCCTACAACAACTACGCCTGAGGAGTTCGAAATCTACACTCCAGACCATCTGAAAAGCAACGTGTGGCGCTACTTTGGGTTCCCAAAAGAACAGGGAAAAATCACGACTAAGGACAAAGTGATATGTAAAATATGTAGGACCAAACTCACATACCACGCAACGACCAGCAACTTGAGAGCCCACCTGTCAACACTACATCCTGGCAAGCTGGAAGAGGAGGAGGGGGAGGGATCGGGGGCGAGGCAGGCCAGAATCGACTCCATGCTATCTCCTTCACGAGGCCTCCCCTATGCCCGCCAAAATAGAGCGACAGATTTGCTGACACGGTTTGTTGGCGAAGATATGAGGCCCATTGTTGGGGATAAAGCCCTGCATCTCGAAGTGTACTAATCTACATGATTGATGGGTATTGGGGAGGGGAATGCATCCCGAGTGTTCGATTTACATCTCAAAGTGCCTTGTTCTTGGTAATTACTGTCAGATCGCTAATCGCTGGTAGGATGTGCTTGTTTTGAATAGGTCTACCAAATAGGGCCTACCTTTATTTATTTTGTCTTTTCAGTACTTAGCCTGACTGGCTTATTTTTATTTATTTTTGATAAGAATAGTGGATAAAACCCAGGTCTGACTTTCAATAAAAATAAAAAAAAACAGTCGTGAGTGTGTTTTTCTTCCGAAAACATCATTGCCTGCCTATTGACATTGACTGATACACTGCCCTCTGGTGGACAGAACATATACAACTTAAGTTTGATACAGATATAGGTCTTACTGAAGGCATTTAATGGTCAAAATATTAATACATATTCAAATATATTTGAATATTAATATTAATAAACAAACAAACTTTGAATATGATTGATGATAGTCAAAGCCCTAGTACCCATCCACTTTTGACTGGTGCAGTATTGGAGCTGATATCTGAGTTACCTTTCGTAAGTAAACATGGTAAAGCTCCTTTACATTCAATTAGAGCTAATTAAATGTGATTTGTGACTCCTCCTCCTTTTTGTTTGGCAGTGAGGCGTAACGGTGAGCCAGTACGCACAATATCAGGACCCTGGAACTAATTCCAGCTCTCACGGCACACCTGTTTAAGAACCACTGGTCTGGTTGGTGTGTTTAAATAACTGGTTATGTCTATGTAAAAATAAACTGACAAAAAACATGTTTTTATGATGTAATAATCATAAAAAAGTTGGTTAGATTTTGGTTGAAATAGGCAGATTATTTCCTTTTTAATGAGCAGGACATGAGCGAGAAGAGGAGATGAAGAGTGAGGGCTTCTGGAGAGATGGAGAGGAGGAGAGTATCAGATTGTTTGCCACAGTTCAAATTTGTCACCCTTCTAGGGATTTACTCGAGCGGACGAAAAAAAAAAGAAATATTGAAGTTGAATGACAACTCAGATTGCACTCCACATTTTATTCATAACTTGGAAGCGGTGCCAATGGGTGAACGTTTTAAGATTCTGGCGTAGGCCTAAGACCCCAATGTTTCAAGAGCCTAACAAGACCTCGGGATGGGAATAAATTCAATGATGCCAGGAAGGATGCAACATCAAGAAATCCAAGTGTTGCACCTGAGTAAATAACTGCTATGATTTTAACCACACACACACACACACACACACACACACATGCATGTATAACTCCACACAATCAAAACTAGATATTATACTAGCAAAGG